TCTCGACTGGCCACGATAGCGAGTACTGGACGATAAAGTAAGTATTACGATGTCTGTTACCTTTTTCAAGAGTGCCATGTACATTTATAGTTCAACGTAGAGAGCCTATTATTAAAGCTCTCTATAGTTTCTAAAGTTCAATGGTATTATCAAGATCGGGTTGACAGCTGTTTCGTTCTGATAACACGGATGTCTGATATATTTTGTTCATTTATTTATTCTGTGATTTATTGGTGTATTTCCGTTTTCGTGCTTTAATGCATCAATTCAACAATAGAACGTGAATGACCATGATAGTCCACAACATTAAATTTATAACAATCATCTTCAATATTAATACATATAATTATTAGATTTGTGAATTGCAAGCAACTGAAGTAATAGAACAATAAAGTACTTATTAGAGTACTTATCAGTGACGTAGCCATAATTATATGAAATAGTTAAGGGGGTTGAAGTCTTGAGTATACATTAAACCCAGTTACGACAGTTTTCGTATTCGTATAAATAATATAAATATGAAACATTTAGGAGGGGAAAAATGTAAATGGGGGGGGGGGGGATGAAGCACCCAAACTCATCTCCTAGCTACACCACTACTCAGTGCTCATAAACATAGCAGATTACCTTCCTATTATATTGGTTTATTATTATATTTGTATCTACCTACCTATATGGGCATATGGCTATAATATTATAATATATAAGGAATAGTTAGATGTCTTAAATCGTGGTTGTTTCAACTATAAAATATATTTAGGTATACCTACAAATTTATTCTAATTCCAATTCCTATAATAATATACCGTAAATTATAATAATATTCAGTACCTATATTATCCCGACCTCAGCTCTGGAAATTGTTAACCAGAAATATTGAAGCTCATTCACTTTTAAATCTATTTGCTACGTAGTATATTTTATTAAACTCATTATTACTAATTCAATTTGGTTTTATCTTGGAAATAAAGTACGTGTCTGCAGCTATTGCCTATATTTGGCAACAGTTCACGCTGTCTGTTTCCTTCGTGTGATAAAAAAAAAGTTATACAGTATCAATTATAAATTAGTCAATAAAATACAATATGCGTCACGACGACGATTAATATTTGGAGGACGTTCTCGAGTTGTTATTGTCATTACTCATTATACTGCTGTAGTTAACAACGGACTACGAATTAAGTTAGATTATAGGTACATTGACACATTGTTATACAACTTAATTATTTAAATATTGAACAGATAATAACATGTGGTCTACTATAGAACGTTTTTCTATAATAAATATTATAAGACGTGCAGATATCAAATATTTATTGAATATTAAATATTAATATCATAGAAATTACTCGGCAATCTACATAAATGATTAATATCAACGGTTATTGATAGATAAATAAGTAAACGTTGCTTCGACGCGCGGGATTGGACCTAGGTGGTTATTATAGAATATAGGAATTAGGATCGAATATTAATTCTAGTTCACCAGTTGCAACTTTGAAAGTCCTTCAAGGAACAAGTCAGTTTTGTTTGTTTTTACCATTTTGCCAACAATGATGCTATCATACGATGCTAACCTAACCTAACCTATAGAGCTTACAAATTACAATGCATGTCTGTGGCATAGAATAAGAAATCGAAAGTGCCTAGAAAAACAGCGAATATAATATATCCATGTGCCCGTGTCCATCATGTAGTTCCTACATGCAGTGGCAGCGCCAGGAGGCCTGGGGGGGGGCACGGCCCCCTAAATTTGTCTTGGCCACCCCTTGGCCCCCCTCGGCAGCCTAATCACAAGAGAAAAAAATTCTTTAAATTTATAATAAAGCATACCTACACATTTTTAATGTAAGTTTGTTGAAAATGATATCTAACGCCTAAATATTAAATAATATACATATACCTATATACCCATACCTATGATATTTATTATCAATTAAAATAAAAACCAATAATTATGTGAATACTTAGTATATGCTACACAATCTTTACAATAGTGTGTAAGTCACGGATTGGGACTTTTTTTGGCTCTACCAAATTTTCAAAGGCCACCAATGGGCCTTCCCAAGATAAAATTCCTGGCACCGCCAGTGCCTACATGACGTTTATTCGCTCAAAAATAAGTGCAAAATGGAAATATAAAATTATGAAATTTACCAGTAGATTTTAAATGCAAATATACAATACTGCAATAGACAATAATCAATCATATAGATAGTGACATATATGATATATTATATAATATATAGTATTATATAGTGCAAACATTATGTAACTATTATAGTTTATAGTTCTATGTGTAACATTTAACTGTTTTAACTATTGGGCCCGATGTTTCAACTATAGGTTTACAAGTTAACTAGGTCTAACATTTAATATCTATTACGTATTATTAAAAAAAAAAATCATTATTCAGAAACACGGCAATGAGGGATCGATTCCTGTTACCTTGAAACATTTTTTGTTTTTTTTCTCTTCTTTAAATAATTTATGAAAACTCTTAGTTACTTATTTAAACAATATTTGTCTTTTTATTTTAAAATAATAGTTATCTATGCTTATGACGTATAAATATTATAAAATCACCAGCTGCCATGAGAATGTTTATTCCACATCGATTGTAGGTAGGCATTACCTACTATAGAAATAATATTAATTATTTATTTGTATTTCACTGTTTTCATATTTTTTAATGCGTGTTTTCCTCTAGGTTTCGGTTTTGATGTATATTTAAATGAGATACGTTTTTTTGTTGCATATCAGTATAAATTAGGTCGTGATGTTTACTGTACTGTTCATAAATTATATATACTTGACACATCTGTATTCTGTACAATATTATTTACTACCTTATACCTATTGACTATTCTATAGGAAAAAACTACCCTAAAAACTATCAACCTTTTTATTAGGTACGTTATTACTTTTTTTGTTAGAAGCAAAAAAAAAAAAATGCGGAAACAAATTACTTAAATCAGCTTAGGGATAAATAATAAAAAAAACTATATTTTAATTTTAATAACTACAAGTTTTTAATTCTTTTAAGTCGTTTTAACTTTTAACTGTTTTTTATATGTAACAACCATCCTAACCGCTCATATAGATTTATTGTGCAGAGGTGTTAACTACTAAGATTATTGATTAATAAGTCCAAATGTCCAATAGTCCATTGTCTATGACAATAATTAATAGCTAATAGGCTTATCTTAAGAAAATTTATGATAGGGTACTAGGGTAGCTATCTACATTCTGTATGCTATACAATATGAAATATGAATTAAGGGGATTTAAAAATGATATTAGGTTGTCATCGCTAATCAGTATAATCTGTAACATTTTATAATTTGTTATAATTATAATATTTCTAATTATTTCTTACAACGACCCGGAGAAGTACAGAACACTCCATAAATTTCATGAAAATACTAATAACTTTCGAAAAATTGGTCCATGTTAAAATATATATATAGGTATATTTAATAATAAGAAAAACATTAAACAGGTTATACAAGCTCACACAATCTCATCCCTCAGGGCAAAATCAATAGATGGAAGCGGAGCATTTCAACTTTTAAAAATAAATCGTTACAAAATATTTCATAATCATTATAAATCAAAATATTTCTGGAAGCTTATTTATAGGTACAGATTGTTTTTTAATCATTATTTTAATATTTTGTGATAATATTAAAGTACTCCAAGTACTACGATCGGAGTGTCGCGCATTCCGACCTTGGACGGCGTTTTCGATGCTATAAAAAGAGCCGCGACGCACATTTCCGCATCTCATCGCGCTCTATCATAATATCGGCAGCCGCGTGTTACATCGCGGGTATAGTCCGTCCTTCACCCACCCAACCACCCACCTAGCCACAAACACGACGACGACGACAACCGCCTCCCGCCCACGCCGTCGTACAATTACAGGCCGATGATAATAACAATTATATTTTAATATAATAACCACTGGTCACCGACGGAACACACGAGAAACCGGAGAAACTGAAAATCGGCCTTGCTCGTGCTCGCAGTAGGTAATAATAATGATTCGCGTTGTAATGCTCGTAAGTACCGAGTCGCAACAGATATAATTACTGTTTTGTTTTTTCTCTCGTATCCGATAATTTTTTCGTACGCACGCACATGTCAACATTTAAAACGAATTTTATTTCGTCGTGCGCGCGCAACATATCATTTTGAATAATAATAATAACAACGGCGACGATACGTAGCGAGTATCCGCGCGAGCGCGCGACGGCGTCCGATTCGGTAGCTCAGTTTCGGTCGACTACTCGACTCCTCAACTGCGACCGGTGATTGGCGTGCTGGTCAGTGCCTCAGTGGTGACTGCCGACCGGTGAGTGGTGAGTGCGGCAGTCGACGGCCGGTGCTTGCCGCTTGGCATGGACGAACGTGACGAGTTGGTGGCGGACGCCGGAGGGATCGACGTGCAGTTTTCGGACGTGTCGTACTCGGTGACCGTCTGGACGCCGGGCAGGATATTCGGTCCAGGTAGGTACAGACCGCGGAGACGAGAGACATAAACGTCGAAATAATAATATAAGAACCTTCACACGATTATTGTGTTGTAATTTTACAAGTCGAGGGCAGTGTCGTGGGCGACGGTGTTGGACAATACCTATAGATTTCCGAGACATTATCCGCATACCATGTTATTGTTTAGGGTGTGATGTTTACCGGTTAATGCGTGGACAATTAAACGTAGTTATCAAATTCTAAGAAAAATATTCAAGGCGGTATTGACGTCAACAATACTCACGGTATTGGCCGACGCTGTCCCAAGGTCCTTCAGTCTTCTGGACGATGTCGTCTAAAACTGTACAATACTAATTATTATAATCACGAACATTAATTGTTGCATAATATTATTATAGCAGAACAATAATTACATTTAATTACACACCGATAGACGCGGTAGTGCTGAACAATAAAATCACGAAATAAATAATTATTCAATTATCCAAAATTAAAAACCTTTTAATCTGACCAATTTTAGGTTCACTGAATCTTTTAATTTTTCGACAGTAATTTAAATTATTTTTAGTAAAAAAATTGGAGGGTTGTATCACCCCCCAATTAATACATTAATTGCTCTATCATATATTTTATATTACAAAAATATGCCAAAGGGAGGGGGGAGGTGATATGACATCCTCATCTACCCCCGTGAGCACGCCCTGGCCCCAATGGTAATACTACCTTAGTATCTAGACATTTTCTCTATTTTGTGATGTATATGACCTTATCTGTGATCAGTTTGTCAACCATAGTTTGAATGCCAGAGGTCGATTTCCCATCAAAATAAACATACATTAAAACAATTAACGTGTTTGTTCCAGAGAAAAAACGGATTTTAAGAAATGTCAGCGGCACATTCCATAAGAAACAAGCATGTGCCATAATCGGATGTTCTGGATCTGGGAAGTCTTCGCTGTTGAATTTCATTTCTGGTTATAAGTATGATGAAAAAATCTATTATTTATTTATCAAGTATTAGGTATTTACATTAATTATTTATTTAAATTGTTCATAGAACATGTGGTTACAAAGGAGATATAATTATTAACGGACAGCCTCGTAATCGAAAACAATTTATGAAACAACTGAGCTATATAATGCAAGACGATAATTTACAACCTCACCTTACTGTATTAGAATCAATGGAAATAGCTTCTAAACTGAGAAACTGTACCGTTCAACTTGATGTCTACCACAAAATCTTAGTAAGAAATTAAAATTATTTTACTTTGGCGTATTACTAAATATACGGAGTTAATAATTTAAACTATAGAAATTAGAAAACGTATAAATGAAATAGACAAATATATAACTAGGTACCTAACAAGATAGAATAAGATTTTGAAGTTAATAATATTAATAAATAAGAATTAGCATATATATTTGTGATTATAGGTTACTAAAGTTAAGACTTACTTCGGTACTTAATTTGTTTTTTATAACTTATGCTTAGCTTAAGGTAAAATTTGCTTTTTTTTATATGAGTGATAATGTTTATTTTTTTGCAGATCAAAAGAATATTGGATAATTTGAAGTTGTCGGAAAAAGAAAACACTTTGGCAGGAAAATTATCTGGGGGCGAGCGTCGTCGACTGTCTATTGCTGTGGAATTAATTCGTAATCCAAAAGTGATGTTTTTTGATGAACCAACCACGTAAATACTAGTACCTACTGTTAGTTATTGATGTAAATTAAAATTATACTTTATGTCGTTTAGAGGTTTAGATGTGGTATCCGCAAATTATGTGGTATCCATGCTAAGAGACCTAGCCAATTGTGGTAAGACAATTATATGCACTATTCATCAGGCATCTGCCTCTCAATTGGAAATGTTTAATGCATTATACATATTATCACCCACGGGTCAGTGCATTTATCGTGGACAGTCATCAAGTCTTATAAGTTATTTATCATCTGTTGGTCTCCAGTGTCCCTTACATCATAATCCTGCAGATTTCAGTATGTTAAATTTTCCTGTTGTTCTAATATTTCTCACTGTGTGCAACAATATTATTTACTCTGTTTTTATTTTTTAACTTGATTTCTAACTAGTTATTGAAGTAAGTTCTGGAGAATATGGTGATCACAACGAAACACTTGTCAAATATATTAATAATGGAAAATCAAATGACTGGAATAATGACAAAAGCATTGAAAACTGTGAGCAAAGAAATATTGTATAGTTATTTTATCATATATTAATATTAATTAATATATTATTTTATGCATAGCGTGTGTTCAAACGCCAAACCATCGTTCTAATTATTCTCGACATAAATGCATCTCAAAGTTTTTCAATGAACTACGAATACTTATTAGTAGAACATTAATCATCTCATCTAGAGACAGTGTTTGTATTTTACATCTTTAATAAGAGGTATTCTAGACAAAAAGGCTAAAGAATAAATTAAATGATTAAATTTCGGTATTAATTTAGCTATTAATTAAATAATATATTTTGATTGATGTCTCTATACCTATATACTGTGTACATCATACACAATTAAATTAAATCATATATATTTTTTATACTTTTATAGGACTTCATCAGAGTAAGAATATTTGTACCTCTTTTGATGAGTTTTCTATTTGGTTCAGTATATTTAAATATTGGCAAAAGTGGTTTGTTCACACGGGATAATGTAATAATGTTATACTTCAGTATGATGGCCATTGTTTACTTATCGGCCTACTCAATGTCTATAAAATGTGAGTTAAATTACTTTATAATGCATAAATAATTACATTTTCTATGTATAATATTATTTATATTTTAGTTCCAATGGAGTTGTTACTTATGAGATTGGAGTATTTCAACCAATGGTATTCACTTCGTTCATATTACACGTGTGTGACGTTAATGGATCTACCTTTACAGGTTTTGTAAATCATTATTTTATGTATATTAACTATTAGAATACAATTTTGTACTATTATACATTTTAACAAACATTTTAATTTGGAAAGGCAATGAACTGCATGTCTGTATATTTTATCATAATGTACATTGCCGTTTACATACTGTATACTTACAATTAGTATTGTTGAACGAGTAATAGGCATTAATTAAAGAAAAATCTATTTCGTTAAAGGTTTTTTTTAATTTTGTATGGTTATTTGAGTATTCTGTATCATAATTGTAATGTAATACATTAAACGTAAAAAAAAAAATAATAATAACAAACTAGTGTTTAGTAAGAAGAAAAAAATTTAAAACAATTACATCATTTATTTTTCAAATAATAAATAATTACTATAATAGTATAATTCCATAATTACAAAAATTTTATATTTCACACAAATTGTTATTATTTGTTATCAAATATAAATCTTTACTAAATGTACTCAATTTAAGAAAACTAAAATTAAAAATAAATACATTTTAAACTATTGATATTAGACGATTAAATCATTTAAGAATATCTCAGGGATAGTCATTGTGAATCATAAAACATTATCAATTTTAAAAATATACAAACATAGTCTAAACATTAATATTTTTTTTTCTGTAGTTCCCATTGTGGGTAAACAATAATTATTAAAGGTGCCTTCAGTCTTCACATAAAATATTTAGTCGTGGAATTTTGTTACAAACATATTACATATTTAGCATTCCTAAAAAGACACAGCATGAAGTGTGGAGGCATCTGGCAATTTTATAACGTATAAAACATTATATTTTTATTTGTTTTAGATTATATCCACGGGACTATTTTGTATTGTAATTTATTTAATGACTGGGCAACCATTTGAATTATTCAGATTTTTAATGGTTTTTTTAATGTTGATTGTGACCGGCCTAATGTCTCAAGCAACAGGCATGTTGGTCGCAATTTTGTTTAAGAATTTTCTTGTAAGTTAATTTTTATATTTTAAATTGACATTTAAAATAAATCCTTAAAAAATCATGTATACCATTTTGATTGTAGATAAATACTATTGTTATATCTTCAATTATTTTACCTATGACAATATTTGCGGGCATTATGTTACGTATCAATGACACACCAAAAATATATAGTTGGATTTATGATGTTTCCGTGTTGAAACATTCAATGCAAGGTATTTTACATGCTATATATGGTTTCAAAAGATCTGCGTTGCCATGTCCAGAAGTAAGTTAGATGTTCACAAACGTATCAATTATATTAAAAAAAAAAAATTGATCAAAGCATAAAATAAATTGGCAAATCTAAAGAATGTTACACGCTTACGCTGATAATAACTCGCTCAATCAGTTATATGCGCATTATGCAAATAATAAAATACTATACTGATCAACTCTAAAATAGGATAGAATTTTAGAGATTAATCATATCTCCTATGCATATTAAATTACATTTTATTATCAGTTTTTATTACTTTGAAGGGTCAATTAATTGATATATAATTTTAGATTTTTTTTGAATTTACTATTTTTAAAACACTGCCATGCACTTTTTAAATTTATTGTGTGCTGCATATTTTAGTTCTTTAACAATCAGTAGTAATTAAGTGTTTTAACCTTTCTACGTATTCTATGAGAAACCATCAGTAAACTTTGTTGTAGAATCCTAAAAATATGGGAATACGTAGTTCATGGGCGCCCATTGGGGGGGGGGGGGGGGGGGGAATACAGGGCACTTCCCCCCCCCTCTGGAAAAAAATATTAAGAACATGTAGCTCAATAAATATTACCACAATATTACCTTATTACCAACATTTTTTATTTTGACCCGTCCTAAAATGTTACCTATGGGCGCCAATGACGTAGTTCAATACATTGAACAACTAAAAATTATTCCATGTTCCAAAAAATCTATAATAATTTTTTTCAATTGAAATTATTATATTGTATTTTTGACACAACCAAATTAAGTTTAATATAATTTAATATTTTGCTATTCATTTAGGATAAAGTGTGGACATAATTATTAATCATAGAAATATAATTTTTTTTTGTAGATTTATTGTTATAATGGCTCTCCAGAATTAGTTCTCAAGGATGTAAGTATGAGTGATAACATATTTTGGACTAGCATTGGATACATTACAACTGTATTTTTGTCCCTTAAAATTTGTACTTATGTTATTTTAAAACATAAACTTTCCTGATGAAAATAATTTATAATGTTTTACGACTCATATTTGTTATTAGTTACTAGTCAGTGTTGGCATTGTTAAAAAATCTATTTCGTTTGCATAGAGTATATTTTTATAGTTAAAAATTGCATATCTACTTCTAAGTCAGGTGATTGAAAAAAAAATATATTATGTTTATATTTATTAACACTGTCGTAAGCATGGCTACAGTCTATACTTCTATAGATTATCTATAGCCGTGGATGTTAGATACAGAAGCAGGACCACGAAGGAAGAAGGAGGAGCTACAGCGATGAAACTTATTATTGACCTTAATGGAAAAAATTTTTATTTAATGATTTTTTATAATATTAGGTAGAATATTGTTATGTATTCTTAGTTAAATTGGTACACAGTATGACGTCGGAAATCTAAATTGTTTTGATAAAAATAATGGTGGTCGGGCAAATAACCAATTTGAAGACTTTATTTTATTATGTTTCCCTCAATATATTAACTTTTTTTTTAAAATTAATTGCTAAATTAATATAGTACCTACTATAACGGTTAAAAATCAATGCTTTAAACTCTATGACCACTTAGTGCTAAACTTTTCTCATTTACAAGACAATAGAATTTGATTGATATACTTATTGAGTTTACCTATACTAGCCTGTAAAAATAATGGGTTTCTTAGTTTTTAATAGTGGATTTAGATGTCCAGAAAATCCAGTTTTCAAGTATGCCATCAGAGTATCCACTCAAATTTGCTCATCTCAGATGATCGCGATTTTCATAAAAATAATATGCTGCCCAAAATCTTAATGATTATTTTTATTTAGGATCATTGTTTTACTGTATAGGTCACAAGTATAGTTTGAAAACACATTAAGACCAGACCAATTGTCAACAGGTGTTTAAATAAAATGCGGCTTATGAAAATTACTAATAAAAAAACGCATGTTTCCAGCATATGTTGCTTTGGTCTGAATGTGATTTAAGGCTATTAAAAAAATGTTTTACTATATTAGATATATATTTGGTGTTTTTTTGTTAGTTTTTATTGTGCTATTTTCTTATTTTCTTTGTTAATTGATCTGATTGAGTGCTTAAAAAATAATTTGTACATTTTTTTTAAATTTCAAATTTTTATTTTTGTTATCTGTAAAGTTAGCAACACAGAATCCACTTCATTGTAACATGAAATCTCTTGATTTCTGATCTCAAAACCAACGAATTTATAAATATGTATTTAATTTTATTATTCCATAATAATATATTATTTTGCTCAAATGAATACTGCTTGTATCTTTGTTATTGTGCTTGAACTATTCAAGAACTGTAAATTATTATTTTTTTTTTAATAATAATTGTTGAATGCTGTTTATATTATATTTAACTAGCACAAAATGAACATTACTTTGGTGTTAACATTTGATAAGTGTGCCAAGGTTACCTTATAGTTTATACTGAAATATTTCAAATGAATGTTCTTGAAAAAATTATATTTCCATTTTATGTATACACTTCTATAAAGTGTACATTTTTAATGAGACTGAACCATCTAACACAGCATAATTTGAAGTAAAAACAATTTATATCAAGACTGTAATGGAGATATTTTATAATACTGAAATTTATGAAAGCACATTTAATTTTAGATCATAATTATATATGTGTAATTGTATTAAAGGGTTATATCCCGTATATTTAATAATAATAATAATTGCATCTATAACCAATGAAGCACATTTAAGAATATGAAATCAGTGTAACGCTATCATACATTTGAATGATAACTTACATTTTTATTTCATATTCCAAAGAATAATTTTTGGAACATTGCCAAGCCAGCCCCCCTCCTCAATTTATTAATTATTATATTGTCATAGTGTATTAGGAATTTCTTTCCTTTAACATTGCCTGGAAATTGCAATATTACATCCGCAGTAAGTTTTGTGAACATTTCTATGTAATTATTGACTCATGCATATTATTTATATATAGGCCAAATGCCTAGCAGTTTTTCATGTGAAAATAAATTGTAATGATTGCTATAAGAAAAAGTTGGCTCTTTACTATCGGTTATAACACTACCTGAGAACTGTCTAGTTTTCGAATAATTTCTTACATTTATTAGGTGTTGTAAGAAATTACTTGAAAGTTAAATTCATTCAAACATAAAACAGGCTATTTCATTATTGTCAGCACGATTTAAAACCGTGATTGTTTATATTATTATGTAACTTAAATTTTATAATAACACAAAAGCTGTAGTTTAACATACATAAGAATTTAATTACCTATCACTTTTTGTTCACAAGTAATTTAAAGTTGAATGCAAGAGGTACAACACATTACAGAATATTTGGTTTAAATGTTTAAAACAAGCTAAACACATACTTTCTAGGAATTGAGATTTAACAGTACCTAAACCATAAATATCACTAGACTATCCTTATTTTCCGAAAACATTGAAGAGGCTGGTGGTACAGTTCTGTTTAAAAGAAATATTACTAAACATTCAATTATCAGTTTCATTAATATAATAGATTACTAGAATCAAATACATGTGCAATAACACAATAACAATTGGCCTCAATACAAATGTTGTCGAACAAGAAGTGTTTTTGTTCATATTTTCTTAGTGAAACTCAATCTGAAATGTTACCATGCATTACTTCTCAGCATTATAGTATAAGGTTTAATTTATTAAATAATAACACAGTGATTAAGATTTTTTTTTTTATTATCCAATAAAATGATATATCTTACATGATGCAACTAGAACCTTAACTTTTGGAAGAACCATTTGTTCTTTCCAGACTTGAATCTGTAAACAAAAGAAATTTAATTAGACATTTTAAATGTTGGTTTTTTTTCAAAATATAGTATTGTATTAATTAATTTGATAGAAAAGATGAAAAAAGAATGAAATAGCTTATTTATATCTAGATTATCAAGTAGTTACTGTACATGATATACTACTATCTTTTGTAAACATATTATTTTATAATCACATCCAAAAGAAAATGTAAATAATTATGGAGACATTTTTTAAGATTTTGATTACGTATACACTACATAATGAGTATTCAATATTTTAAAATGTTCATAATGTGCATGTTTTTTTAATTTAAAGGAACTATGTTCTTCCGTCTTAAACATGTAGAATAAGGTAAAAACATCGCCGTATTTCATTCATTATGATAGTATTATTGAAATTAAGATTAAATGTACGTAACTTAAAAATAATTTTAACTGTACTTTGTCGGAATCTTTTATATATAAATTGTTATTTTAAAAAGTTTTAGTATTTAATTTGTATGATTACAACTTCACATATATTTTAGAATTCATTAAGAAGATGTTTTAGCCGAGGCATGTGTTGTCTCTACCTCACAAATGTACAATAAAACAAATTCACGTTTAAAATTTCTAATTTCATGCAGTTATATAAATATTAAAGTGAATTAACTAACTATCAAAACTTTGAAGTAAAAACATAATGGTTTTTACAACATCTACATTTTGAAGCCAGTAATGGACATTTTTAAATACAAATGACAGAACAGATTGAGTTTAATAATAGGTCAACTCAATTTAATATTTAAAGGGGATGGCTAACGCAAACTGACAATTTTTGAGGGGATTGATATATAATTCATTTGTTTCTGGCTGTCACTGTGTGTGTGTATACTCCCCACCAATCGCCCACATGCACTAGTCATTTAGTCAGGGTTTAGGTATGAAGGTGAAATAGCTGTAAAACCGACAAAAATTAAGGCATCTTAATTAAAAAAAATGTCAAGATAATTGAACTGATTAACAAGTTTACTTTGCACCAGGTTTAGCAAATTCTTGACAAGAATAAATCAATACATTTTATAAATTGGTCAATTTTTAAAAATTGAATGTAATAAAATATATGCTCTGATGCAAAGTAGATTGGTTTACCAACTCAAACATCCTTACTTTTTTAAATCGAGCCACTATAAGTACCTTTAACTTTGTCTGTTAGTAAGGTTGTTTAGATGAAAAATTAATCGTGTTTCCAATCCCCTTAAGCTAACAAAATTGAAAACACTGAACTAACATTTAAGTATGTTATACACTGGTGAGACTGAAACAACACATACGAGTACATCGTTTGAAGTAGTTCTTGAAGACAAGTATAGTATACGATTGTACAGATAGTATAGACTGACAATTTTTTTTTTAAAATTTGTTCCTAAGAGTCATCACAACATGAAATAGCTGTCGGAGGTACAAATACCACCATGTCTACATAACCGTAGCCGAGTCAGCATCAAATGACTGGTAGTTCGTGACCCCACACCCAGCCACCCATCGGCTGATATCAAGTAAACAAAACTGTATATTTATGGTAAATTTCACACACAAACACTAGATTCTAACAGGTGTATCATGCCCCAAATAAGTTGTGGTATCACCTGTAGAACATTCCACTGTGGGTTGAGTTAACAACTGCCAGTTTGTTTGACATGGACTACAATAAATGTTTTTTACACACTGTTGGTAAAAAATAGTTATATTCAATTTCCAGAGAAAAATTGATATCATAAACACACTATTTGATATGATTATTCTAATGGTACTCCAAGCGGCCTCAGTCACAGTCAGTAACTGTTCAATTTATAGAAATGCAGTGGACTTTAAAAATGAACAACTCTGCTATGAATGACCATACTTCAAATAAGAGGGGCACCGAATTTAAGCAAATTAATCTATATTAGTAACAATGTTAAGTGGTTTTTATCCGTCATATACAACTCTTAGCTATTACTAGTTTCGTTTCACTATTGGATAAGACATCACAAAACTAAAACAGACCTAATGGTTTTTGAATTTAAAAGAGCACATTATTATTAAATCTATTCGTTCAATATAACAAAACTATTAATCTTACTTTTCTTCAAATTTAACTCGGGTCTGGAAACGGTATTTCTTTTTAATCATTGGATCTTTTAAATCTTTAGGTGAAACCTTGTCTACTGTTACATCTTGTACGGAGTATCTAGTTGGCATAAGGTGGTTGTAATTGAGCACCTGAAAAAATAATTTGGAAATTAACACAAGTAGTAACATATATATTAATTTAACACAATTATCCTTAGTCATTACCAATTAGTAAATGATTTTAATAAAGCATAAAAAAATATATTGAACATAAGCAACATTCTAACTTGTAGTTGTACATATAATATCAAAATATACTTCATAATTCTTATCAGGTTTATTATGTCATCAAAATGTGTCAGACATATGCTTGTTTAAATCATCATTAAGAATTGAGTCAGTGCAGGAATCAAAATTAATATAATACATACAGGATAGAATAAAAGGAGCGTTTTAACTAATAATATAATACCTATATATTAAATAACCACAAGATCTCTTATCTTCAGGTAACTGAAACTTGGTCAGACTTTGTTAAATATATTGTCAAGTTTAAATTAAAACAATGATGCCTAAATTATGAATCTAAACTGAGGTTTTAATTTCATAAGATAAAAAAAATTATAATTTGATACCGATAAAAATTCTTTTTATGACAAGATACGAAGGTTATTATTATTTAACAACATTCAATACAAATTAAAAATTAATTTTTTCATAATTTTTAGTATCAGTTTATAAATATGGAACTGTTATCAACCACGGACTTCTGTGAAATAATCAATCAGGCGGATAATAAATAATATATTTATAAATGCCCATGCCAGGTATCAGTTATATAATAATTATAACGTTGCTAAGAAGTTAAGAGTGAAAGTGTGCAATTTATCTGATCGTTTATAGCGAATGATAAGTACATTAAATTAAAATTTGTGACCACTTAAGAAAATGTCACTCATATGGTGATGTTTGCGGCTTACAAACAAAAACTCCAATTCTATCTTGTTAGTTTTAATATAAGCCCGTGTCCAGACCAATAGAATACATTTATCAGAAGCATTTCGTTTCCTACCTCCCACCGTAAGTCAAAGAACGTAATCCGAATTGAATGTCAGCAACAAATGCATCCCAGCCTAGACACAGATTCATAGTGAATAAATCATCTAAACTATTATCTTAACTCAAAGGTAGGGTCAATGTATGTTTGTACGTGGTTTATTATTGAATAAATAAAATTGAGTAATTTAAAAATGTTCATATATAACTTGCTTAAAAGCTTAATCATTAACAACGTACAGATGGCGATGTCAAAGCCAACACAGCACAAATATTAGTTTGGGTGGATGTAAATTATTGAAACAGAGACAACATGACATGTGGGTACAATGTACTCAAAATTCAAATGTGGTCTCTTACAAATGGAATTCATGAAGAAATTTTTCTTGTTAGGCTAAAAGCTTAAAAAAATGATTAAAATATGCACACAAGTGAGATGTAACGGAACTATAAAGTGTCTAACAACAGTTAGTCTTACTTTCAGGAAAGGTTTGATTTTGGATCGTTTTTTGAGTTTTTCCTGTGACATGCGTTTGGTGACTTTCCGAGGATAACGATCTATACCGGCCACAAGTGCGTGACCATACTGCCTTTCCGCTGTACCTTCGTCATAAGTCTTCATTATGACAGCTTTTCGGCCGGCGTATCTACCAGATAACACCAGCACGATTTTACCAGATTTCATAATTTTACCCATTGTGCCGCTTTTGCTAAAATCAAATAATATAATTAATAGAACATTAATACTAATACGTCAAACGCGACGCACATATGTGCACCACAGGTAACGTCGTGAATGAAATGTGCGAAAAACGTTGGCAGAAAACCTCCCCTGTAAATGCCACTGGGAAATATCTATATAATAGCAAACAGTAAACTCAGTCTAACTGTTGCTGAGAAAATATAGTGTCCCAGGTACTTGTATTTCGTGGCACGTTTACGACGTCGGAAAACCGACAGACGTCCGTCGACGATAAGTTCGTTTTTCGAGGATTTCGTTCACGACGCCCTTCGACTGTGGCACAATTAACACGAACGCGTCGTAAAGGCAACACATTTGTTGTCTAATAAATAAAATAATTCGAAATTACTTACCACAAGACTAGGCGAATATTACACGAGGGCAGGCTACGAACGCCAAAAGAGAGAAACTATTTGTTTTCAACAGGATTTTGAGGTTATGAGAGAAGCGCCAGTTTCAGTGTTTCACCGACTCGTGACAGTCGCGAGTCGCCGACTCCGCCTGGAAGAAACGACGAGCGCAGGCTGACAATCATATGGTATTCGGGCATTTGATTTGCTCGTCCATGACAACTCGTTCACCGCCAATGTTTGATTTCCAAAATATTGAGCTACCTGCCACGATAATAAAAATATGAATAATCAATTTATTCTTAATGCCGGTTGACAGTGTCAATATGTTATTATCCTGTGTACGTTTTGTTGATAACTTTTAATTGGGATTATAATTATGTGACATGCATCGAACGATAAGCTTTATTGTTAATTACTTACCGTCTTGCAAAGTGTATTATGGGTGTATGATAATAAAAAAAATTTTGGTGATAGAAAGTGACAAGCTGTAAGGAAGACGCCGTGTATAATGTCTAAGATTTTAAGTTATTTCACTCCCTGCCCGCTTAATAAATACTTAAATACTAAAAAAAAATAATATTCCAAATAGTTTAAAATATTGATTGTTTAAGACATTAAAAAAAAAATTGTTCCTATTCTTCGACAAAATTTAAAATTATAACTAGTGTAATTATATAACTCTGATAGTTTAAGACTTACAACATAACAATATTAAACATTAAAATACAAATGTTACAAGGAACTATAAGGTACTAGAATACAGTATTAATTACTTTAGTGAAACACTATTCTAGAAGTTTCTGCTCTCCACTAGTACATTCTACCCGATTGGATATTAGTACACCACCTAATCTCTGACATAAATAACAAGTAATATCAGCAAAAATGCAATAACATATTGCAAATGGAATTTAACAAAAATACTGGATTATAATCTTTTGGCATTATTATATAATTAGAATAATAAAATATTTAGGTATAATTTATCAAATTACTGAAGTTTATTATATTATCAATAATTTTGGATAAGAAGGCTTAAAGGTTATTTTCTTACCATGTATGGGTTTTGACTCTTGAGGATTGACTATAATACTGTGGACTATAAAAAACAATAGGATATGAGAGGATAGATTAGTAATGAATTTAATTCAATCTAATAATAATTTTAAGTCAAAATTGAATAAAATATTGTAAATCCAAATCAAACATTAACTATAAAATCCTTTACATATTATTTTTAAAATAGGTTAGTTATGAAACATGTTTGGTTACATTTATCATCTTATCTATTGATACCATTCTCGAAAAGAGTTTGGTTTAATAAACAAAGAACAATGTTAATCAACAAAAAACTTTAAGCTGCAGTTTAAGATTAAACAATTAATAACAACTAACTACAATTACTTCACAGTACATAATTTTAAATAGTAATTTATATATTAAACTGATTTATCTCATGTAAAAAAAGTATTTATAAATTCAAATTATAAGTTATCTTGATTTCCATACCATGGCTTTTTCATCTGAGTTGGGTTATTACGCATAAAAATTGTAGTTTTTGGAGTAGAATCTGGTTTTAAAGTCCTCCAGTTACCTTCATCCGTATTCTGCACAGGATTCACAACCTGTTTATAATTGTTATGGGTCCATGATTCTTTATGTCCTCTGTCATTATTATATGATACAGTCTTAACTTTAGTATTGTCTGTAACTTTGTTTCCAAAAATGTGTTCTTTATTTTTCATCAAACTCGATACATGTAATTTAAATGATTCTAGTATTTTCATAACTTCTGTAACTCTTTTTTGATCATCTGCAGACAATGTTGTATTTTTTGAAGCTATAGAGAGTTTTTCGGATATAACATCTAACAAATTAACTTCTATAGTATAATTACTAAACTTGGTTCTATGTGTCTACAAACAATTTTAAAATACAATATTTAGTACAATGCCGAGTTGGAATAAATAAGTTTTATCGTGTACCTGAATGCTGTAAATACAAGTCACATTTTTAATGCTCAACAGCATTGGAATGTACTTCAGCGCTCGTAAGAGATCATTTTTGGTCAGAAGTAAATATGATATAGTTTGACTTAAAAGTTTTTCTTGGTGAACAGGATGAGGAAATGTTTTTAACAAGTCCACCATCATTTGTTCTATTGGAGCAGTTTTTGGATTTATTTTAAAAAATGTATAAACATAGTCAATAGAACTACCAAAGCTTTTGACATCATAAGCTTTCTTAAGATGAAAGTTGGCTTTTACATAATCCTAAAAAGTGCAAAAAACAATAATTAAAGAAAAGTATCATGTAAGTTTATGAATACTTTTTAAAATTTTTTTATACGATTAAAAGAAAAACAAAATATATCCAATATAGGTATAGCATTGGTTATACATTTGTAATTTAAGTCATTTTATGTAGAAATTTACCTTTTTATTAAACAAATAGTAGTTTCCAATTGCCCCATGAACATAACCATTATCACTATATTCTAATGCATAAATAAGTTGATCCAAGATGACAGCAATATCATCGTTATACTCTTTATTTTGAGAAATTTTCGATAAGCTAATTAAACAACTTTTTAGCAAAAGCAAATCTTTTGTATTGTCAATTACTTCACTGAAAACAATATTTACAAAAATAATTCAAATGGTTAGAAAGAAATAATTAACAACTATAATTTTTTAAGACTAACATTAGTAATTTTAATGCCTCTTCTAGAATTTTATTTTTGGCATTTTTATTTTTATTTATGTTTTTACTCATCCGATGATAAACATGAACTAAATGCAATTTATGCTGATCCTTGTTACCAAGTTTAACAGCCATTTCAGATGCTTTAATTTCTTGTTCAGAACATTCGAAATAATTGCCACATGTTCTTTGCCAGTTAGTTAATACTTTAGCCATTAAAAAATACCATTCAGCTTCAGTTCCATTTAGCGATAATGCTTTAAGTGCGCTATCTTTTGCTATTTGTGCAGCAGATAAACCATACTCATAAAAGAATAATGTTTGAATACCAAATAATCCAGCTTTATTGGCATTGTTCATGTTATATGGCATAATAAAATGTTCTAACGCCTAAAAAAACAACAAAAAATTAACATTCAACATAATCAATAACATTAAATTAACAATAATTAAGGTTGTGTCATAAGTAGAAATCCAGTTATTTATCCATGAAAGATAAAAAGTCAAACAAATGTACTAATGTAAATACAAAATTAATAACATTTATCATAGTTCTAACTTAAGATTTCTGCCTAAAGATGTTATACAAACCATAGTTTCATTTGAACACAATTTTAACAAATAACCCTTCATTGAAAATGTTATGTGATTGAGAGCTATCCTAATAGACTTCAAAAAATTATCGTTACTTCCAACAGATGATAATATGGTTTCGATTTCTCCAATTATTTCCAAAGCTTTTTTTGTCTTTCCTTCATTAATATATTCATAACAAATAACTATGTTATAACCAAATCTAAAAAAAAAAAAACAATTCAAACTACTAATATTATAATGCAACATACCTACATTTTTATTTTAAAATGTAGTTGCAGTGGCATACAATTAATATCATTAATTTGTTATATTTTGATACCTACACAACACCTTAATAAATGGTTAATACAAATAAATATTACATAAATCATAACATAATATAATAAATAAAAAAACCTAAACCATTTAGTTTAATTTGTTGTGTTGTCTTATAGGCAAAGGTATAGTAATAACAGCTACACAATTTGGCTCATCCTTCGTGAAGTTAAATAAAATTAGATATATTACAATACCTAGGAGCACCTAGGACTTAAGAGATAACCATTAATAGATCTAACTGTTCACAATTTATAAATAGAGAAAAAATATGAAAAATATTACCATCTAGAATATTTAATTAGAGTGGAAGCAAAACATAAAGTGTAAATGATTTGTTGAAATGGTAGCTATGAACTATTGAGAACGAAGAAACGGTTAAACAGTAGGAAATTTAGAATGCCTGAATGCATAAATTGGTTTATATTTTAATTTAAGTGTGGGATTACTAGATTAGTAGAACAGTAAAAGATACTAATACCTAGTAAGATTATCAAGATTTTCAAGAACAGACATTTGATACATAGTAGTTACATACGCAGACTCATAACAGTCTGACTTCGATATGGGTCAGCAGATTTTTGCAATTAAATAGCACATAATGTAACTGCTTGAATACTTGATTTAGAACGGGTAAGTATCAATACAATCAAATTTCTTTCTTGAAAATATTGAATTTTTTTATTTGAGTAATTTAACATTTAATTATTTCTGTTGGTTCAGAGACCGAGTATAGGTAATTGAGCATTTAAACTCAATTTTTTGCCTCAGTAGATAATTGAATAAACTAAAACTGATTCATCTTAATAATTTAAAGTAGGTAAGGCAGTTATTATTACATGAGCATGACCAAAAAAAAATATTTGAAACATTTTAAATGTTTTGCTACTACACAACAAGTCTTTTGGTTTTATATTATTACTGTCGACAGGTACTCACAGTTTCCATTTGATGAACTCAGGGAGTCGGTCGTGCTGCATGCCGTATTGGCCCAGGGTAGTGGATTTCATGTCCAGGTTGTCGAACAGTACGTCCGACTGATTGCTGCGCCGCTTGTACTTCTTCTGCCAAGCCACCGGGTTTTCGAATCCGTCCACAAAGTCAACCTTTGGCGAAATGGAGCAGACTTTTTCGAAATCTTCGCAGATGGTCGTCGATGCATCGGCAAACGGGCGGTGTTCACTCTTGTCCGCCATGTCAGCTTACACGAACTTTTCCCCGATTACAATAAAATTATACTCACACGCAAAACGGAAAATTGTTCGAAAAATCTAAATGTGTTTAGGGCGACTATAATGGCTACCGGTTCGGGGGTTTTCAACGGCAGACTGTGACTGACCGCCAGTGAGTGACTTGAAAGTCGAAATCATAGATGATAGGTATCATATAAAATATTTATTTCGGCCAAGGTGCTGAAAACTTACAAGTATTTAAGACAAAAAACGAACAGGAACAAAATAATACGAAATCATTTAAAAATGTAAACGGGGAAAACACTACGACACCTGACCGGAGACTAGGAATGCCAATGAAAAATGCCGAGTGGCCTCTCATTTCTCAACCAGTTAAGATAACAAACGGAAAATCCCAGCGCCACGGATTATATCTATTCTTAGACTCGAAAAATTAATAATGTTATTATTATGTTTTTTTGTTGTTTATTGTTTATGTACCGCGGCTCAGTGAGCAATAGTATTTACGAATATATCATAATGATTTATTTCACACTGAATTACAATATTTCTTAATAAAGATAACAAATGAAATCAATTAGGTAGGCATAAGACAAAATAATTACGTAAATTAAGTTTTGGTTTTTATTTTAAAAACAAAGTTTGACGTGCTTATAAGAGAGGGCTCGTCATCAATTACTTACCTGTATTATAGTGATTTTTGAAAATTAAGAAAATGCAAATAGTATAAACTAGTAAATGAATAAAAACAATTAATAATAATAATAATAATAATAATAGAACAATTTACATTTAGGTTTTATTATTTAGAACATATTATCTTATTCTAGACAGTGAATGCCTGGATGGTTGTATCTTGTATAAAGCTAAAGTATATTAACGCAGATTTAAATAATATTAGATTTTTCGTTACTCTTAAGTCTTTACTAGTTATCAGTGGTGTATTGGTAAATATATTTATGGGTATACGCACTAATAAAATATGTATAATCTACCAAAAAAAAATTTTCTCGCTTCGCTCGTAGTCAATAATCATTACAATAATTAGGTGACTTAATCTCTTATATTATATTATTTTTATTTTATTTCTTTATTAAATTTTCAGTATTTTTACTAATATAATAATATTAAAATTAACACTGATCATCAATGGAACCGACTAGTATTCATTCTTCTTTGTCAAACGATACTACGATAAGTACAATAAGTCGTAAACTCGAATAGCAAGATTCAAGAAGGAAAATACCCATTATTGCAGTAACAATAATTTATAAATAAATCTATAAATAAACACCATAAACCATTTAATTGGCCATAGCCTGATAAACACTTAATAACATCAGTGGTTACAAAAACATAACATCGCAAGAAACACATTTGCCGCGCGTTATAATTTATAAATGACATAATACAGGTTGAGAACCATGGACTGAGCATTCATACTCCATATTGGTAATATTACATAATATTTTAATAACATCTATTTTTCAAAATGTTATTAATAAATTTAATTTAAAATTCATTATTATATTAAAATAACAATTTTTCCTATGAATAATTGGTTTTCGAGTTATTTTAAGAGCGTATACCCGTAAAATGATATTTTACATTGGGTATACGCCGAAAATCGAAAATCTGCTGACGGGTATACGGCTTATACCCGCGTATCCGTACCAATACACCACTGCTAGTTATTAGTATACTTCTGATCAAACTTAATGTTTTCGTTGTCTATAGACGTAAGTAGGTACCTACTTCATATTAAATATAACATTTTATTTCATTAACAGAAAGTTCAGAATAAGAGTAAATTGACTGAGTGAAGTCTAGGTTTATTTAAAATCATTCTTAACAGATTAATGTTAATTATGATATTATATAGTGCTCTGTTGGGAAAGGTGTGATTTTAAAATGTATATGCTTCAAATACATGTTTTATGGTTAATTATCTATTGAGCATTAGAACTGGGTACCTATTGCAATGTAAATAATTTTAATATTATTCATGAAAATTACGAATGTTAGACAGAGTGATTTTTTTCAGAGAATGTTTCACTCGCATGTGTTGTCTTGGTTTTATGCTAACGTATACCTAACATGGCCAAATTCGTTTATATGCTCTGTTATTTTTAATAACATGTGAATTGACCAACTATCAAACTCAAAGGTAGGAATTTATATCAGAAAAAACAAAAAAGAGATCGAGGAAAAATGGGAATGTTTACGGCAAAAAAAATATATCAACAAAATCGATTTTGTTTTTTCACAGGTGTAGAAAGTAAAGAATACCTGTAAATATTCTTGATATTTAGATTTTAGACCATAAGTTTATAAAGGCATTATCTATACATGATCAAATTTTTAAAATAATTTAACGCATTTTGAGCAACATTTGACATTTTAGATTTGTTTTTAGTTTTTTTTTCAGTAAGTATCTATAAAAAATGTCATACAAGGTCAAAATCCTTGGAAATGTAATACAAGGTTCTTATAATGTTTGGTATATTTAATACTAGTTAATATACATAATAATATGTCGAACATAAGTAGTGACAATATTATGTTGATAAGCAGTTTGACATTTTAAGTTTTTCTGTAAGTTATGTTTCTGAGTAAAAAACCAGGTCATGTGCAGGCCCCTTAAGAATCCAAATAATATTTAGTATATCAATTCTTGAATCATAAATCATAATATGTATATACTATCGTTATTTATTTTTGACATGACAGCTTTAATTTTGTCAAGATTTGAAAATTTAATGCTTATTAAAATGGATTTTTTGACATAGTGAAAAATGTTTTATCGATATTTTTACTATTTATAGAAGTTTTTTTTTAAATTTCAGATGCCTATAAATAGATTTATAGAATTAGAAATATCACCTGTAGAAAATGTTAAAGTAAACATTTGGTGAAAATTCCAAGTATCTACAAATATTTGTTATTGAATTATGTGTATACATTTTTAAATCTTAGATATAAAAATGAAAATGTGTATATAATTCTAACCAAAATAATTTGCATATATTCGTGATTTTGATGGGTTGTGTCAAAATTCTAATTGCATTCATTCATAAAATAAAAATTGAGGTTTTTTTTAAATTTTACTAATAACAATACTTATGAGCAAACCTTATATTAAAAATTAACTATCAACAATAATTAAAAATAAACTAATTTTTAATTTTTATTTTGAGTCTTCCGCTGCTTTTGAAAAATTCTGAAAATTTTCAATTTTCACCACTTAAAAGTACGTACTTCTCCACCAGAAACGAACTGAAGTTGAAAATCAAATTATTATTATGACTACCTACCTACTTATCGTGTACACCATTGACGTATTTATGGGGATTGTCTAGAGGGGCGATCGCTCCGAGTCACGTCAGATTTGTATAATCTTCTGTTACGATTTTATAAATTGGTTAAATTTTTATTTTTATCAGTAATATTCTATACATGTAGATGGCACCACTACCTATTATATTAAGTTATTTTGAAGAAAGAAATGTAACTTTTTATTTGTTATTTTTATTTTCATGTTTTGTTTTTATACTTAGGTATTTATTAAAATGTTACCCTTTAGCATACCAAAATGATAATTGATAGTTACGATTGAATAATGAATATGTAAGTAAAATAAATATACCCCATGGGCCTGTGAAAAGGGAAACCGTTGCCAGGGGCAGGTACTATTTTAGACTATCATTGGTCCAAAATAAAAATAAGTACACTTATACATTTCTTGCCCCTTTAAAAAAATTATTGGTTCGAGAAGAATCAATGCTTTCTTATATCAATGGATTATTAGAATATGTGTCCATAATATTTTTTTAAAATTGAGGATTTCATATGAGGTGTTACCAATGTTACCATACGTAGGTATTAATATAAAATACATTTGAGTTAATGTCATATTAAAATAATACAATTTACACGAGATTACAACTTATTATTTAAATATAGGATGTAAAGTTATAAAACAAACAAATATCACTTTATGATCACATGCCAATGATATCAGAAGGAATTATTAGACATATTTGAAATATTATAAATTAATTTTTTTATATTTTACATTTATTTTAGAATTATTTACAACAAAATGGTTTTTCGGAATTTTTAATACTGTTTTTTTGCATTTTTAACATTTTTGTCATGCACATTTTACAATTTTTTAGTGCATGTTTCGTCTTTTAGCTCCTATAGGCTCCGGAGCTTTGATGATGATGATAATCGATGCGTAGAGTATAGTTCCTCTAAAGCTCGCAAAAAAATATAATGTAGGTAAACTGTTTATATGATAAAGAACGTCGATAACATACACGCCGTTATTACGGGTGGTAAATGTAAGGTAAGCTCCGACGAACTTCTCAGGTAGAAAAAGTCAAATAATTTTTGTGGTGGAGGTTGGGGTGACATTTGCACTCGGGCGTCAAATTTCTAAATATGTCTCTGGTGTAGGTACACACATCATTGTAAAATCATACCTTATCATCAAAACTCAGAATCTAAAATAGTCTATTGACATTATTTTTTTAATCTTACGGGTACCTATGCAACATGCTTATCTTTGACTTAACTAATGCCATTCACGTAAACTACGATGTATATTTTTTAATTAAGTTCTAATAGGTTTATGAATGGCTTTAGATGGACCAAACACTATTATTGTGTACTGTTACCTTTTAGTAGTACGTTCTATAAAATATAACAACTATAATTTTTATTATTTCAAACATAATTGGCATTTTAATTTTGATGATTTGGTGATTCGAAACAGTTTCAAAGGTTAGAATATTATTATATTTTTTTTAATCTTCTTATTTTTACACTATCTTAAAGATTTGGATAAATTATTTTGGAGTGAACCTACATATAATCATTCTTAAACTATAAATAATAAATACAATTTACAAACATTTTAAAAATGAATTGATTTTTATTTTTACGATCAACCTACCGCATTAAGTACTAATTCACATGGATAGAAACAATATAGTTACAATACCTAAACTAAGGATACTTTATATAAATAGGTGAACATCTATAAACACTATTTAATATCAATGATATAAAAATTAAATACAACACTTACAATTAACATAAATTAAAGATTAAAAATAATATATTGAACAATGTTCTACATAAATCTAAATATAGCAAAGGTACCTACCACTTAGGTTTAATATAAATATATACCAGTAAACCTAAATCTTAAATAAAAAAGTATTTACACTAAATTATTAAGATGGTATCAATTAAATTACAGTATATTGGGTAAATCTTTTACCAAGTTAGAGTAACAAGTTCAACATACATTTTAAAGATTATAATCACAGATTGACGGCTTAACGGCATTTCAAGCTTTTTCTTAAAGTCAAAAAACTAACTATCACAATTACAAACAAAAATCCAACCATCACTGATATGTCCGTCCAATATTTTCCATCTGTCATACCGATCTCTTTGAATGTCGTTTCCGGGAAGCGGTAATGGCAGTAACCTTCTTCATTTAAACAGATCAGTGGTTCACGACCATAACCGTAAATGGAGACGACCAGCCCTTCTAGTGCATACCTCATATAACTGATGTAGGACACATAGTACAGGGTAATAGGCATGTGGTTGAAGAGTACTAAGAAACCGGCGAAGAGAATACACAGACAAGTGATGATTGAACCAATGAAGACTCCGTTCTAAAATATTGTGCAATATTAGTCTGGGTAAAAATAGATAGGATTTCTACACATAATTTACAGAAGGTATCGACTTACAACTGGGTTCATAGCTGTCCCGAGAATAAGGCCAATACCTTCAGATATTAGGGTCATTAACTGACAAACAAATAAGAACATCAAGAATCTGGTCCACGTCATCAGTTGTGCTGACAAGTAGTAAGAAATCGATGTATAAATAAAACAAAACATCATCTAAACAAAAGTAGATATAGGTAATTAATGAAGGAAAAGGGTTCCTAAGAAGGGTTTTGGTAATTTTTCATTGGCCTACCTGCAAAGGCATATTCGTGACGAGAAACGCTACGAAATAGGTCGATAGCTTATACCAGTTGTTAAATAACTCTTTTCTCAGAATGTGAAGTTCGGATGGGACTGAAAAATAAAAATACAATTTAGTTGACATTAAACTCGTACCCATGTGCGACATAAGTACACAATATTAGTAGACAATATTTGTATTATTTATACTTACATTTTAAAATAGCTGGCATAATAGATGTGTAGCTTAAGTATACAAGTGTTACGATACAGAATCCGATATTGTTGATAGTCTTACCACCGTCGATGCCGGCGTTTTCAAATAAGAGACCCAGTAATATCCCGACCAGGAAGTGCATACATACTTTAACATGAGTAACCGTCTACAACAAAATAATTAAATCGAGACGCTATTATAATAATGTATTAAATAATAATATAAACATAATATTTGCATGTTTGCTTTTATTTTTTTTCAGTAGAAACAGCATCATTCGGTATATTTTATATCTAATTGATATAAACTTTATATTATAAAGAAAGGAAGACATTGATTCTAGTTGTTTCGCTTGCTTGCCTTGAACAAGAGGAAATCTCATGGGAAGTGTTTTTTGGGTTAGTAATTTTGATATATTTTCAATAGTTGAAGAGTGAAATTATCAAAAAAAAAAAGAAATAAAAATAATACCTACGATGTAATAGGTTTAATTTGCATTTCATTGAGTATAATATTCAAATTGTATAAAATTAACATTATTGACTCTAATAATATGATAACTACGTACATTATATGGTAGGTACATACATTTAATTAATTTCTAAGAACATAGAATATTTGAACTTTGAATTCTAGCGTGACCTGATTTTGTAGAACATGGGAATTTATTTTGTTTTATTACTACTACCTATGTGATATAATAACGTGCAACTTTAATGACCTAGTATTTATTTATTATATAATTTCCCTATATAATAATTACTTTCTTGACAGATTTAAAAACTATCAGTGTATTTTACACTGAAAACAAAATCTTTTCTTTTCAAGAAGCTTATTGATAAATGTAAAATATACTAAATCTAATTTAATTTAAATTCAAGTTAATCAAGCATCATGAATATCGTTCAAAAATAAAAAGTTGTGTAATTTAAGAATGTTATTGGACTACTTAGGAATTTTAAAATTATTTTTAGGTAAGTGTTGTCGGTCCACTGCAAAAGATACCTCTTTGTATATTCAAATTTAAATACAAAAAAACGAAAAAAATAAACAATACCTTTGTTTATTAATTTGTAAACAAATATTTAAAACAACTTGTTGTTGGTACACATGATTTGGGCAGTATCACTGTTTCAATTTTATGTATAGGTAGTACAAGATTCTAATTTTGGTAACTAGTATATTATAAAATCATAAAAAAAATCTTCTTAAATGTGACCTCATTTATGAGACAATCTCCTTTTCTATTGTTTGTCGTATCAGTACATTTTAATTAAATAATATAAACATTTAAAATTATGCTGAGAAAATATTATTGGCTTTAATCAAGTACGAATGTTAATATGGCACGGTGATGTAACCAAGATTTTTTTACGGGGACGTTAGGCGGGCAATTTCGAAATTTATTTTCATTCCATTTTTTTTTACCATTAAAAGGCATTAAAATATCATAATGTAAACTATGATAATAGGTATATATTTAGTATCTATGTTGGTGATAAAAATTCTTTGTCAACAAAGTACTGTCCTGCAAATGGATGGGGGTCTTTACTAGGAGTACACCCCTTCGGAGATTCAGTGGGTGACTGGTATGACATATCTGCATATAGCTGGAAATACAACTAAAAGTATAAATAAAAATATATACAACTAACCCAATCTCTGTAGACCTGCATTAAACTTCTGTGTATTAGTACTAATAATTTATTGAATTCGGAGGGCTGGTTGACCAAGACCAATGTAGTCGGACCAGGGTTCTTAGATTTTCTTTTTAACAACGTACCTGGAAATTTTAAAAGCAATTTAATAATCACTAAATATTAGTTCATTAATATTATATCACCCAAAAATACATTTCATAATGCATTGTATAGGTAAAAGTGTAAGACATAAGTTACTAAACAAAAAAAAAATACAAATATTACGTGAATCAGTGATTTGAGGTGGTGTCCTCCACGATTTATCAATAGCTGCTGTTTTGAGTTGAGAGGTGAAATTTCCATATTCACCCGTCACTACTTCCAAAACTATAACAACAATTTTTTTAAAAATATGTTATTAGATGTTTAACAGTCAGCAGAAAATTTATTATGAGAGAGATTAGAAAATATTGTGTTTTAGTAATTATAGGGTTGGTCATTTTTGAGTAGGTAGTTGAAAAAGTATAGACTGTTAAACACCCCTAGTCCATAGGCTATAATAGTTTAGTAGGTATAAATGTTTAATTGTATTTCTACACAAAGTGAATTTGTTATTTTGCATACATATGACAAAACAGGCATGCAGGTCAAATAAAACAAGGCGGTATCGCATTAAGTCAAATTATACATTGCAGGTTAAAAATGGGCGATACAAATTTAAATTATTTTTTTTATGGCGTATTTGTATTTTATAATATTAATTATTACGTAATAAATCTATTTAAAAAACAAAACAAATCATTAAATACCAGTTTTTATTTTTGATTTTAAATTCAATATTCAGTAATATTTTACAGTTTTGCAAAATCAAGAGGAAATTTTCGTTTACTTGTAATAAATTACTGTTTACAATGTTGGTAAATATGCTATAATATACTACCTAGCTACACTTGACGACCGTCGTATACGAGTATTATACGACTCTAAGTTTGTAGGGACAAACAAGATTTTTTAATAAAGAGCTGTAATGTAATATAAAACTGTAAGGTCATCAGGAAACTCGGGTGTGTACCCACTCTTCTTCTAACAAAACTATGTATCAATAAGCAAATAATATACACGCGTTATACGTACCTCAATATTCTAAAATACCAATCTGTACATCGTACATGCATTGATGTATTCTATATCAATTTTGACAAAGCAATAACGTTAAAAGCGATATGTACATTTTTTCACTATCGAGTTAGTATTATTATATTACATTATCGTAATACCACTATATAGCCTGGAGACCACTTAAACTGTGTTAGCTTCAATAGCTTCAATAATAATAATAATAATAATAATAATAACACAATCTTGTCTTTTGTGTCGATTATATTATATTATTATCATTATTTCTACGTCAGGTGGGTCGGATCCAGTGAGGGGTATGGGGTCATAATAGCACACGTCTTGTCCATTTTTGTCCCATTTTTTAAAATTTAAGTAGCTTATAAAAAAATTATTTTTTAAAAAAGAAAATAAACTGTAAAATATGCTATACTTTTAAAAAACGTATTATGAAAATAAAAGTGATATTATACCGATATACGTTATAAATGAATCTGGCCCTCTCAGATCATCACTCTGGATCCGTACTACTCGGTACCTATAATATAGTTATTATATGTTATATTCACATTGCATATACAATCGAAAACGTTTTGTCGATCATCACGTTACACGATGATCTATCAGCCCACTGGAGATCGGATCGACCCCGGTTAGAAGAAGAGTTCGCAGTTCGCTGCAGCTAGTGACCCCGATGACACATGATGGACGATGGTGATTACAATATACGCGCGTTGGAAAAAATTCGATGAAAATGGTAGCGTGATGGTAAACATATTATTATAAATTAATTATAATATCGTCGCAATACTCACTGAAATCGGCCGGATTGTGGTATTGTGGACAGTTAAGTCCGATTGTTTGTAAATAAGGTATGGTGTTCTGACTAGAGCCCTGGTATACGCAGTGCCCCTCGGCCATAATGTAGACGTGATCGAACATTTCGTACGTGCTGGCGCTGGGTTGGTGTATCGTGCAAACTACTGTCCGACCGCCTTTGGCCAGACCTTTCAAGATCGACACGCATTGATGTGAACTTGTACTATCCAAACCACTGAAAATAATAACAATTGAAGCGTTAGTTAGCAGCTATTTTATAGGTAATATGAGCAGAACATATCTAGATATAAAGATAAATATAATAATTCGAATATTAAAGATATTTTCACGTTTTTAAAATAATATTTTGTTTGAGATAATTATTCATTATTATTTTTATTAAAATAAAGCGATAATAAAGCAATCAAAAATGGAACTTGGTTTAATCTTTCAAGCATATCTTAGTTGTATTTATCTATACTGCCATATATGTCATCTTGGATAACAATTGATACTTTCTGCTGGCCATTTATTTATACATTTATTATAGGTGTGAAATTGATAAAGCTTAAAAAACAATTATTCTATAAAATAATTATTTTATTTTATTTTATACTTTGGTGCATTTTTAATCATTGTTAACATAATTTTGGTGTCCTGTCTTGGTGACTGTTAAAAAAAAAATTGATGAAAAGTGGTAGGTTATAAGCCTAATCTCAATTACCCGCTATAGCTTGCCACTGCGACGAAAATTATTGATTTAGTAGGTAGTAGGTACAGGTAGTATTAAATTTATTTTTTCTTCCAGTAATATGTTAAGAGTTGCCACGTCAATAATTCTATGAACCACACAAATCAGTAGAAAATTAAAAGTTGAAAAAGAAATAAATAAAAAAAATCAGTGACAAAACAAAAAAGGGTCGTTATCAACCCAATATAAATAATCTTTTTTATTATTTCACTGTTATATAATATTATTTAGGTATAAGTACACATAGACATGGTATTTCTGTTTTTAATCATGGTCCGGTCCGTTTATTTATTATTAAAATACATTGTGTAACCACTAAAACCCGTCCAGTTCATCTTGTTACTTGGTTTATTTAACGCAAACCGTTCATTACGATTTCAAAAAACAGTGGTTCGAAACAGTGGTGTAGTGAACTGAAAATTTTCCAGAGGCAATAGTTACAAATATCCCAAGTATTAATGCATAATAATGTATTAATATAACACTACTAATTATATTTCAGATGATTATTGACTACCTGTTGAGTACCTATATCCATATAGAATGTACTAGGGTACCCACCAGCTACCACAGACCCTTCTATTTAAGGAAAATCTTAGAGAAAATCGCCTCCGGAATCACCTTTCACCACATCACTGGTTCGAAAAATATATTTTTTCCAATACAGTTTTTGGACCACTGTTTTTTTTAAAATCTCAACGGTTACCTAGTGCCAAGATGAACTTGAGTTTGGACAAGTAAATGGTTATATACAATGTAATAATCACACGATTTGTATGAAATATACATGTATTATGTAATCTTAGTATTATATTATGTAAAACGTTAAATTTAAAGAACTGCTTACGTGGTGGGTTCATCTAGAAACATAATAGGTGGATTGTCAATAAGTTCAAGAGCGATGGACAAGCGTTTCTTCTGTCCACCCGATAATCTACCACACCTGGTGTGAAGGCTGCCGGAGAGTCCGATGCTGTCTAGAATGTCCTCGATCTAATCAAAAAACAAGGAGAACAATGTCAGTTTAAATACGTGATTACAATATTACTGATGTACACACACACAAATACACATTACACACACACACGAGTATATTAATTAGGTATGTACCTACATGCGTGCGCATGCAGGGAAAATTAAATAATAATGCAATAGGTACGATAGGTTGGGTTTAGGTATGTCATAGGCACATCGGTTTTTTGTGACTTAAACATATTTTGTGACTGACGTGAAAAAGGAAAACTCATGGTTCTAAATTGAGAACCAAAAACATATAGCTGAAAATCATTTAAATAATACCAATAGTTTGAGTTCTTCTTTTATAATTATTCGAAGGATGACATGTAATAAATAATTGTATGATAAATTAAACCTACATAACCTTGGAGACGATTGAATTACGCTGCGGTTCGAAGAGGCCACCAGAAAGACTATATAATATATTATACTTTTATGTGAATTGCTTGTACAAATGTTGTGCGAAGAGACAAATAAAGGAAGTTTGTTCAACAGAACAATGACCTAAACAATAGTATTTTTGAACGTATTTAGGTAGCGGGTACTAAGATGCAATATATATTTATATAGGTACCAATTATCATTATTTATTAATTTTTGAACAATTAGGTATGCAGAGCATAAATATAAGCGTATAATTGTCGCATGAGTTAACAATACATACTTATATCGCAGTATAATTTGTTTTAAAAAAAGGACTGGTAAAATATTTGCTTATGCTTCGTCTTTGTAATTGCTTTTTAAAAATTATAGTATTGTAAGATACGTATACAAGTATAACTCCATTATTCCCATTATAATACAATTTATAATTTTCAAATAGTTAATCCGGGTTTTTTCAAATTTAAAAACTTAAATTATAGATGTCCCTAACATCACATTTCAAACATTAGTAGTTATATATGTTTGTAATAACCACAACTCTTATTCATTAGTCATTTGTAATTACTCATCTAGACTATTGTCAATTTTAATATTTTACCAGGAAAATAGTAAAATAAAATATTGAGTTATTTAAAATTAAGATTACATCGAATTACAATAATTTGTGAATTGTAAAAAAAGATAAGTAAATAATATCACAATTCTCAGATTATTGATCTATTAATATTCTATCATATCTCTATGATATAACTAATAAATAATAATATGAATACATGGTATACTCGTAGTACCTACTTTAATATTTAATAAAATATACAATTAAGATATAATATATCATAATGTAATTCAGCGTATGTGTAGTTATTTATTAATGTAAGAAATTATTGTGAAATCGTTATTGAATACACACAAAAATTTGAAAAAAATATTAATTCACTGAATATGAATTTCAAATTTACAATAAATAAATACATTATATTTTATAATTAAATCTTAAACAACAGTCAATTTTCCAAAAATAAATTTAATATTGTTTAAAATATTGAAAAAACAAACTTAGAGTAAAATTGTGGTTAATGATTATTAACTACTAATTAGGTCTTAGTAGAGAATTTTTGTCAAACTATACGTGTAATAAACGAAAATAAATATGAATTAAGATCATGTTTAAAAGTAGGTCATATAAACATTTTTATGCTTTTTCTTCATTTTTTATCAAGGCAGTTCTAACCCGTTGCATCTGACCTTGTTGATAACAAAGAAATATAGATATTATAATTAATATATTTGTAAAATGAATGATAAGTAAGTACTACTATAGTTAAACTTTATGCATGTACAAAATTATAAATATAGCATGAAAAATTAATCATTTTGATGTCAAATTCGTATCGATTAATATTAATCATCAAAGTTTAACTTCTGACCTTACGGAATTTTCTATTGATTGTTGTTAATAACAACCAGAAAAAAAATAGCACCATATAATAAAATATTATGGATAGACAATGTTTTGAATTTAAAACCAAAAAACAGGTGATAAATAAATACTTAGCGTAAAATAGAATTCATAATAAACCGTAAATTACCATCTTACTGCAGTTTCAGCTATCGCGATTACGATGATGTAAGCGCAATATTTGTTTTTTCTCTGAGACCCACGTGCAACATACTAGATAAAACGCATTCTCATAAATTCGTTTTTATGATTTTTGAGTAATTTCATTGTTAAAACGACTATTAAAAAAATTATAAATGATAACATTGATGGAGGTTTTGTAGTTAATTATTATTTGAATTTGTATTTGACTTAACAAATAAAAATAATTGTTGAAATTACTTAAATGGATATTACATTGTTTTGGGAAAATATTTAAAATTATAGACACATCTATACGTCATTCCACTAAAAATATTATTTTCTATTATTTTTGTTATGGGTGATTCTACTTGATGATTTTGCGTAAATGTGTTTTGTTTATGTTGCACATGCGATAGGAGAGATATACAGAGAGCAAAAACATACAGTGCTCTAACTTCCTCTTAAAAATAATTTCAACTAAATAATATGTTATTTTAGAATAAATAAATAATTTTATAGTTCAAAATATTGAGTACCTGCCTATGTATTTTAAATTCATATTACATTTTTTATATATTTTTATAGTGTACTTACATTTTTGTTACAATTTAAAAATAAGAATTTAAATCATGGAATCGAAACTGGTTTAAAACCAGTTAACAGTAATAAAAACGTAAACTATTTTTAGATTAAAAACTGAAATAATGTTTACAATTTAAATAAATATTTATACTGATTTCTAATTTTATTTCTGACTGTGCAACAGCAAAATGTTGATGAGGGATATAAGAAAAAAATTGTAATATTTGACACAATGGCCAAAAATATCGTTTTAAGGTGTAAGTGCTTATGATTGGTTATAAATTATAATAGTTTATATTGTGCCATAGTCAATATACCCAAAAATAAAACATAAATTGAATTAGGAAGTCAGTTTTAGAAAAAGATGACTTTGGTCTGATAACTTACTACAAGAAGTTTAGATTTGTAGGAGAGTGTGTATCCGAGTTTCAGGTCAGCTGCCATCATCATAATTTCTAATACAGTGAAAAGTGGGCACAGTTGGTCGTCTTGCATTATGTAACAGGATTCTTTTCGGCACATAGTACGACCCTCGCCATTCTTTTTTCTCAAATCATTATTTAATAGCAAGTCATCATCATCAACGTGGCTTGTCAGGACTTCACCATTCATTCCTTTTCGTCTATAACATGTAAAACGAAATTTAAAATGTATGATTGTCGATTGTTTATGCCTTATGGTATTAACTAATGATTATAGGCTATGATAACAAGTTTAATTAATATGCTGGAACAAATATTAAAGTAATATTTATGTAATCGTAAACCATAGTAGTATTCAGGTACATATTTTTATTAATTTTGTTAAAAAATATAATACATACTTTCAGCTTCAAAATTAAATTTATTTTTATCAATATTATAGTTAAAGCTTATTATCTAAAAAAAATAATACCTACTCAATTATAAAAATGTCTTATAAAATTATAATAATTTCAGAATATAATAATTTATTAAGTTAATAAAAATAATAACCTTCTTTTTGTATATTTTTGTTCTATTAAGATAATATTCACAATCTATACAAGACACAAGTAAATACTGCAATAATAATAATATCTATAGTTATTAGTTATCTCGTATACCTCAAAACATGTATCATTTTACGTCGTCTAATAAGAATTTGAACGACATTTTTAAAATGAATTTTATATCTTGAGGCAAGTCAAGTTAACTTCCTATACAATATCCATTGTCAACTAATTCAATGTGAACAAGACCACCCTGAGAAATACATTCAATGTCCAAATAAAATATACATTTTACCTATTTGATATTGAATTTTGAAATGTATATTTTGATTTTTAAATGTGGGTCACCCTGTTGGAACGTTATATGCTGTAAGGTCATATGTTCGAAACATACTACGAGAAAGAATTATAATTATTATTATTGCCCTTAAAACGATGTACGATATACCTATATATAATTTGAGAAATAAAAAAAAACTTAAATGCAAAATTAAAGACATAAATTATGGCCAACCATTAATAAACCAAAACGAATATTTATGGCTTTCGTGAATTTACAAGACGTGCTGTCTGTTGGTTAATAAATTTAATACAATCGTTATTATGACGGTAATACTGTACATATAAATCTGTAACTGAAACAAATATCATCTCAAGAACAGATGAATAAAACAATTATTTAAATACATGTGTACCTAATCACATGTTAGTACCTACCGGTAGAATACATGTCGTATATTATACAGGTTTGATTACAAGCAAAATATAAATACCAGGCTTTGAAAAAAGCCGTAAGAACTCTGAGCAATTGAAAAAAATATGGAAAATTGGAATAATATATAGAAATTAAAATAACGAAAAATAATTTTAAGTATTATAGTTCATTTTTATTTCTAAAATTATATACTGCCGGGGTCATTGGCGTCCACAAATAAGTGCTCATTTTCATATATTTACCATGATTAATGTCAAAAATGTTTATGGCTGTTATGTTTTTTAATTCATGTAGGTACATATTTATGAATGATAATAACAAATAATATTATTATGTTGAAATTGTTTTTTTTCCGTAATCACCTTATGGTTAAGGAGTCAAGGTAATACGAATCAAAAATGTGATGACAATCGATAAAAAATGATATATTATTACCTATTCTTATTAGTACTTTGAATCTTTGATTGATTGTTTAAAATTATTATTAGTAGGCAAGGACTTAAATAAAGAGTTATAAGTGCAGAAAACCGTATACACAATACAATATTGAATACGTATATATTAAATAGTGCTATGCATTATTAAGTCATTTAAAACCTGAGAGTTTAATGAATACTAATACCATGTGTACCTCAAGTGACCCTTAAAAATCTGCGTTCTTTAAATTTGTTGTTTATTTTCAGTTATTTGTTATTACACCTATCTAAAATAAAATACATCAGACGCTGTATTCAAACTGCCGCAAGTAGATTGTCCATTTCGGTCTGATTTATCCACAAAGCGACGTAAAAGATATACTGATAACAATTTGCTCATGAAGTTAGGTACACTTAATACTTTAACTAAAATACATTGTAGTGCACTTCGTTTTATATTTTTAAAATTTTTTTTCAGGGCGAAGTCGTGTAATACAGCTTATACATACCTATTATAATATTCATTCTAAATATACGAAAATCTTTACAGCGATACGTTCGTGTGGAGTTTACTTAACAAGGTGGTGTATTTTTAACCTTACATTACATTATTATATTAAGAGACGGTCTAGGGAAAAATTTTCAACTCCATTCATTTTTAACAACACAAATGACTTTATAATTTACCAAAATATTTTTTATTATTACAAATAATAATTTAATAGATAATTTGGTTAAAGTTTATACTTATATTATTCAATAGTATTATATTATGGCCATATGTTTATTGCCTGTTCAGCGCCACTACCAACGGCGCCACCGCATCTTGAAAAAAATGTTGGCGTTCAAGGTATATCGTATATGCCTAGCTACTTTTCTTAAGTGAGTTTATGAATTATATTAATATCCATTAATTTATGAACACAAAATATATCTAAGAATAGATGTCAAACAATTTTTTTTTATAATTTTATTTCAATAACATTATGGAATTACAAAACATGGTTCTTTGAACACTTAATATTATGTCCTTCTACACGTCATAATGGCCAAACAGGTGACCGGCGCCCATATATTTTTAATAAGCAATAAAGATCTACTATAGACGTAAGTACGTGGTTGTGCGCGCTAATGCGGTTGTAGTTTTAAATTTTAATATATTAATAGGTATATCGATTATATAATAATTGTATACTTAAGTGTAGTCACTACTCGTCATATATTTTATACTAAATTAAAAGAAGTAGTTTGTATACAACTCATAATATAATACATATTTAATTACATGTATCCATGATAAATTTATAATATTGGCATTGATCAAATATTAATTATAAGACCCTGGAATCGTTATCAGTCTTAAGGAGACCATAGGTATTTTATACAGTGTAAGTAAAAAAATTGTTGAGTAAACGAAACTGCAGACCATTTATACTGTGATATAGAAGCTATATATTATACATACAATGTACCTAAGCTTTTTATGTCAAGGGCACTATTAACGAAAACTTACTCGAGAAGTCAAAAAAGTAGATACTCTAAGTTCGTAAACGATCACGTTCTGCCTTTATTATGGTAATTTTTTTTTTGGAACGGCCATACGCTTAAATATATTAATATATTTGTGTGGTATCTTATTTGAGTAATGTACAAAAATCATTCAAAAGCTTGCTAACATTTTGTGTAGGTACACCAAAAACAATATACCTACCTTAGAAGACGTAGAGTATTATGAAAGGTACGCCGTGCATATACCTATGCTCCGAAAAAACAGCATATTATTATTAGTATAATAATTCATTTTAGATTATATTATCAAAGTTACCTATATAATATTTCAATGTATATGGTGATCAATAGACGGTTTATTTTTAACAGCACATATTATAGTAATTTTAAAACTTCCTATACACAAATAATTAAAATTCTAATATTTGCATAAAATAGTATGATCAAAATCATTTATAAAATGTACGAAGAAAACTATTTTATATGGTATAAAATTATCAAATAGCATAATATATTTATGAATAAATAATAAATATATTATAATGTATATGGAGAACCTAACTCATATGTATAAATTACACTATAGGTATATTATAAACATTAAACATCCGAGGTTTTGTATTAGTGTATTACTTTAATTACAATAATACTCCAAAGTAATGATTATAGGGCTAGAATTTATATGCGATAAAAAATGTAGTATGGTAAAATATGCAATTATTTTTATTAGATTATATCAAAAATTAACTACTTTTTACATAAGAATCAGAAATTAATTATATATTACTAACTGGATTACCTAAATTAATAACCGACCACTTCAGTTTATAATATTAGTGTATACTAATTATTAATGTATTTAAAACAATAATTACGGAATTTCATTAATTAAATACGATTTCAAATTTATTTTTACTAATAAATTATCAAGAATTCTAAAAACAAAATCATATAGATATTAATCAAAACAGCTAAAAAAATATTGTATTAAATTGAGAATGATTCAAATCGCGAGCATAGCTAACACAAACAATCACTTTAGACTAATTGAAAACAAAATACAAATCTAACCTAACTAGTACATAATATTCATCAATTGATTCATCAAGCATGCTCACCTTTTTACTTCAATAATACAGTTATTCAATATCTGATTTATGGAATTTTTAAATATAGGTAAGTAACTAAATTCCTATTATTTTTGATTCTTAAGATTATTTGTATTAATTTAGGAGTGTCTTGGGAGCATATAAACTTCTTTTTTTTCGAATGTTGGCCCCTTTAATCTATACTGTAAGGTATTTAGCAAATACATTTTCTGAAAATTATGACGTATCAAAATCAAAACGTGTCGTTTTTGAGTTATTTAACTTTGTGTACTAAGAATAATAGGTCAACGAGAGTAGGTTTTTTATATTACGGATTCTACAAGTATGGTAGTTAGTATTATTTGACTTATCAACAATTATAATTTGTAAAAATAGTCCAATCATATCAAATACTAGACTTAATATTACATATATTTTATATTTTTGTAAAACCTTTTTTTAAAGACTATTATCTTTATTATAAACATTGTAATAACTAAGACACTCGAATTTTGAACTAAGTACATACATCAAAATTTTCAAAAAATGTATTCACTAATCACTTGTATTGTTCTTCAATTTACATTAAATAGGGGCTCTCATTTGAAAAATAGAAGCTTGTAATTTGTATCTCTCCTCATTACAATCTTTAAGTGGTGCCAAAAGTATCAACAATTTGTCTACATTGATTATTAACGGAAAAAATGGGGTTAGTATGCTTGATGTTTACCCTGTGTAATTTTACCTACCTATATGATAAAATTATTGAACATTAAGTATTTTAAATGCAAAATACGTTTTATTTGATTTGCATATATTATTTTTAAGTTTTAATATTTTATACAAAACCTTGAGAAAAATATACTCATTCAAATGCTTGTCATAACACCTCTTTTTAAAGCAAATAAAAACTATACAAATAAGGTATAATATATCAAATAATAATATTATGTTTAGCCGCTGTGTTACTTACAAAAAATTTAAAAGATGGATTTCACTGACGTCTCAAACCGTTAAAATTATAACTAAACAAGTTCACATGTACCATAATAGAGTACTTATAGACTTGTACATGTTACTTCCGTATACTTTATTAAATGTGGATACACATATTTAGTCAGGCTGATTTCTAATAAAATAATTGTCAAAATTTATTAGTTGAAAAAAAAACGTGGTCTTTCATATAGCACGATAGAACAGCAACTGCCAATAATTGACAATAATGGTGATAGGTATATCGAAAATAATATGATGAAAGTACTAAAAGTATATCTTTCTCACTGCCACATACAGCATATAATAACGATAATAATAGTAATCAGTGACTTGGTGAAAATGGTTTTATAATGCTTAAGCACCACGGGGAAAATTATTTTTTTGGGTGGATGGATGAGTAAATTATGGTAAGTTAATGGTAAGTTTTTAGTTTTCTTCAACTTGAGTATTTAAAAACTAGGTTACTAGTTGCTGATAGTGAAATAAATGTTTTGGTATAGGTAGGCAGGTACTGAAATATTTATTGTACAATATTACAACCAGGTTTATATACCATACCACTGATAGTAATAACATAATAATAATAATAATAATAATAATAATAATAATAATAATAATATTCTTAAAGGCTTAGAGTATTAATAGATATATTTTACATAATATAATCGCATACTAACTATAGTATCAACAGTACAAAATAAATAAAGTTGTAATAGTTATATGATTTGAAAATGGTACTTTAATTAAAACATGCAATTAGAAATATGTAAACGATGATTTAGATGCACCTGACATGATACAAAAAATAAACTTAGAGTAATACGAGTACAACAGTACATATTATTATACCTATCTATTTTTTGGTAGGTAGGATACAAATATGTTGAAAATATTAAAAATATTTTATATATTATGCATTGTATTATACAATTAGCATATGTATTCGTGATATTTCGTGGTTGTAGAATTTCAGGTCAATACCATACAAGTTAGCTAAGTACAAGGACGTTTAATGTATAATTATATTTCAATAATTTGTATATTATCTCAGTTACCAATTTATGAATGCACATAATATATAGGTACTATAGCCTATCTTTTTCCCTAAGGTCTTGTAAACAGATTACAGGATCATAATGATATGTATTACTTGTCGTACAGATGTATTTAAAAAAATGTATACATCAAAAGTGAAATTCGCTAAAATTAAAACCATAACTACTACTAACTAAGGTAATACTTAAATCAAAAATGAAATTGCAGTATTTTTGTGAATTATTATTCGAATCAGCGATTTCATAAATATATTATTTTATGTGAATTTACTCATTACAACTGTGGACAATTTATATGCTAATTGATTAACATCATTTCTGATTATTTTTGTTGGTAAGTGAAGCTATTATAGAGTTATTATTGAGTTTAAATGTGTTCTGCTTTTAATATACCTATGTGATTATATTATGACAAACTTTAAAACGTATATAGAATCTTTCAAAAGTAACTTGTTTAATTCTTAGTTATTTCAGTGCAGATGATCATACATTTACAAATTCGTTTAAATAAGAGTCCTGTAGTGGCCTTATTTATTTCTCGTTTAATCTTTCCAGTGAGAGAACACGCAGCTATCAGACGAAAATGGGTTCTTCTGCGCTGTACCTTCGGTACCCTTCCATAGTGGAATCGGTCTCGATGACAGGGTGTCGAGTGGGAATGCGTAGAATCGAAGTGTTCTCTCGCTGGATAGAGTACAGTTTATACATTTTGTATAAATTATTAATTACATGTAAATATTGAATTAGATTTATTTAATTCGAGTAATATTATACTTTATAAGCACATACGTTCTTAATATTCATAAATCATAATATTTTATTACTAAACGCTTATGTTTAAAAACATTAATTTATATTATGTAGAATAATACCATAATAACAGAAACTCAAATACTCAATTGAGTTGATGATCGCAAATTAAACTATGGGTTTTAACAACGATAATTAATTTTCTATATATATTATATACACATGTATTTAAATGTTATTTGAGAAAAAACTTACTCAAATCCGGTAAGAATATTGAGAAGGGTTGATTTTCCAGCACCGGATGGTCCCATAATTACAGTTAGTTCGCCACTGTTGAAGCGACCAGAAACGCCTTTGAGTACTTGTTTTTTTTCTAAAAAAATAAAAACACTTATTACATTAAACAACAAATACATATAAATTCTTCTCACAAGGAATAAACTATTATTGTGTTTTATTCTATCAGTATATCTGCAGGCACATACAATAGTACGTACCGACCAGATACCAAATGATATTACCTAATTGCTTAATAAAATAATGTTCACATATTTAAATTTTGTATATAATTCAGATTTAGGTATTTATGTTGTATAAAATATAGATTTTGTAGATAAGAAAAAAATATACATTTTATGTGAATGTTTGAAAACAATGAGAATTGATCTCGAGCTGTGCACCTGAAACCGGAGTCTGAGCACACATATAATACGTTTTTAGGTAAATTTACTGTTATCTTCTATTTATTTGATTTTTTCATTGTGATGTATTTAATTATTTTAATTTTTAAGAAATATTTTACGAAACGTATATTAAAATGCATTATTAATTCATCATTCGTCAATAAGAATATTAAGATATATTTTATAATCACAGATATTCTAAATAAATTCAATATTAAATGTTAGTTAAAAGTACTAATTACTGACCTCGAGTCCTACGTCTCACATATCAAATCAATGCCACTATATTTAATCGTAATAATAAAATAACTAATTATCATACTTAATGCCAACATTATTCGTCACTTATTATTGTTATTAATATTATACGGTTGGCAGGAGACAGGATACATACAAAATTTATATAGGACACGGTATTGTATCTATAATCTATATACGCGGAATACATTGTAATATTTTTGGATATCATAATATTATACGTTGTAAGTTATAACTTAAAAACATAATTTATTACGTTTGTGTCCCGCGGTCATTACCTACTAACTATCTATATAGTTCGCTTCGTTTGCTATATTTTTGTAAACCGCTCCAGGAGTTTGGCTGCATTCAAATGGTTTTCTAATTAATATCTATGTACCATACCTAACAGGGGACACATTGATTTTGGCGATTAAATTATGTGACTCATATAATTAAAATAATATATAATTCACATTTAGGTTAACTTGGCGACCATGTATTGTACTCACGAATTGTAAGATGTATTCATTAATTATCGCCAACCTATACTTAGTATAATTATTACATTCTGTGGAAGTATAATATGGTATATGGTATATCCATTAAAGTTTGAGCTGTTTATTATTATATAGTTAATAGTTTATTCAGGTTTTGTGCATCCAAGTCCCGAGTGTAAAATATTAGATACCTGTTTTACTACACATACCTAGGTCAAGATTTGTTCAATTTAATTATTTAAAAATTCCATTAAGAATAAATATTAAATGTGTATTGTTATTAAATCGAAATACACGCTTGAGTGAATCCATGCAGCATTAAATATAATAAATTATAAGCATAAGAAACGGTAAATATATTTACATATCTTATAGGTGCCTATAGGCACCTACCTATTAACTTCAAAACAATTTCTTAAATTTATTTCAGACAAAAATACTAAGAATTTTTTAAGCTCAAATCTACAAAACTCGTTGAAATTAAAAAAAAAGAATTTAAAATTACTACAATTTTATGAATGTAAATGAAAATAAACTATGATTAGGTACTAATTTACTTTTAATTGTTATATAGTTCAAAGTTAAATTAGTTCAGGAAATTTATTGTATATAGACATTCATTTAATAATGACCGATTAGTATCTATACTAAAAATATCAAAATTATCAATCTATTATTGTGTGCGATATATTTTGAAACTACTTATATTGTTGGATCTGCAGTTTTAATCAGAGTGCACACGACATCATGTTATTCAAATTTATACTATATTTTTAATGTCGTTTCTCGTCACAATTACGGTGGCTAGGTTTTTAATAACTTCAAATTTATTCAGTTATTTTATGAGTACCTAACTTTTTACATAAACTCAAATTACTATAATTAGATTCATAGTATTATACTATCACCATTTTGTTTTGTATATTAATCTATTATTTTAAAACATAAAATGTGCTAGGGTGCTTCAATAAGTTACAATAAATAATAAATTAAAATAAACTTTATTTTTGTGCTTTAACAAAAATTACTTAGAGTCAACTTCATAATCTTGTACTTTATTGTTAAAATAAATTCAAGATATTGCTTATATAGTTTGATTTATATTTTTATATCAAGAGAAATTGGATTACTATTGAATTTTAATTATAGTAATTTTTTCAATTATCATTAAAAATAAGTATATTTTGGAGCAATATAATAATTAATAAGAGTCGTAATATTTTATGGCATTATTTTATTGTAAGCCAAATATTCAAAAATATAGTTGCCTAAATTGTGTTTTTTTTTAAGATTATTAAGAATAATGAATATTGTTTTGAGTCAAAATAGAAGATTAAATTTCTCTACTTAATATTTATTTAATGTTTTAGACAACAAAATACGTCGTAATTACACGTGTGAATACTACAAATGTCTTTCTGCAATACAGTTGTTACGGAAATACTCGTACGTTGTATTGGACTTGGATATAACTAAACAGAACCGGAAGGAAACTAAAGTCAATATAAATTCGTTTTCTCTTTTAACTGACAACAAGCTAGCTAGTTCGTCACGGTACATAATATACCATGTATTTTGAATAAAAAAAACTGGTAGGTATAACGAATTGTATGGTTTGTTTCTAATCAAATGAATCGTTTAGATGTAAAATAATTTACTATACACAAATACAAAGATTTATAATATTTGTTTAGTCGAAAATTAATTTTATTTTAAAAAATAACTCTACATAATTAGTCTTGGGAAAAAATTATAGAATGAAACGATTACATTGAATTTATGAGTTTAGAAATAATAAATATATTCAATATGTATAATACACACTAAATGCTTAAATCAACGAAATGTATATAATTGAATATATTTGCCATTAGGTATGGAAATTCTAAAGGAAATGAATCAAAAAAATATCAAAAATTATACATGGTACATAAGACTATGGAACATTAAACCATCGTAAATTTAAGTTGAACGAAGTTGCTAAATAAATGGTTTTGAAGGTATTTTTCAGAGTACTACTTAATAGGCAATATAGTGTATCTTACCCAGTAATATTTTTTAAAACGATACACACTGAATATTGGGTAGAAAATAGAAATATATTCAGCTTTTAGACGTTTAGAATAAGTAGAGTAAAGTCAATAAAAAGTGTTCTACACATGTTTTTAATAATCATAAATTTTTTATTTTTCAAAATTAAAATGTCAGTTTTCTAGGATAAGCTGTACCTACAAAAATATATTATATATATTGTAGGTTATTACATTTTGGATGACAAAATAAAAAAAAAATGTACTAAGGTTTACGAAGATTGTACAACAAAGAATGTGTGATATTTAAGGAAATTATAATAGATAGATAGGTATGATAAATAATGATATTGATAGTGGTATACAAAACCTTTAAACCTTTAAAATATTTACAACAAATAAAACATATCAACATATGTTATTGAAGTAAACAATATTACTGGTACATTCAATGTTTAAACCAGCTGTTATAGTAGATATTGTCAATCTTCTATAGGTATTTAGTATAGCAATAAATAATTATAGGTTTCATTTTTGTTGCTGGTAAAAAAAATCATGTTAAATATATAATAAAACGATTTCGTTAAGTAAAATTGTTTAATGAGGTAGATCCGAGACGTGCAAAATGAGGAGATTTATCGCGGAAAAGTATTTAGGTGAAGTATAAATTTAGTGTACAATATTATAGGGGTCCTTAAATTAAGTTTCTGAGAAGAGGATTAAAAATGTTCTCAAAAACTGAATTAGAAAATTAAAAAAAATTATCAAAATAATTGAGTATTTAAACATCTGTATGCACAAAATGTTTAGAGCATATTTCATACTTTATGTAGTGCATCAATAGCACAGGGTCGTTAAAATATAATTTGGCACCGGTTAGAATCTAAAACGGTCTAAAAACGCAAGTTTAATATAGTTACAGTGTTATTTTCACTACTTATACAATAATAATAACATATAACGATAATTTCGATGTAGGTAAGTACTTAAATAATTGTTATCGATCAATCACTCGAAAAGTTTTACTTTCATCTGCTATCATTATTAATAGGTGGTATACCTATAATTTGTCATACCTAAATAATAACTATCAAGCGAAATGTTGTTCCGTGGGCCGATACACACACACTAAACAGTCACGTACCATATAGTAGGTCAATGCTAATCAAGGTTAAAACTTACGAACGTCTTTATGTAATACTACCAAATATATAAATGATACTGTACATTTTATATTATTATTATTATTATTATTACTAGTTTTTGAATTCGTAATTGAATATATATTTTTTTTACCTCTGCGCAACGTCCCGACGTCTACGGTGAACTGGATGTCCGTAAATGTGATGTCGATCGGATTGTTTTTGGGTAGGTGCATAAGTACCATTCGGGTAGCGGACGCCATGTTTTAATCCGAATTGGCGTGTTCTTGTGTTTTTATGTCTGATCCGTGGACTGGATTATATCTAGGATAGTCTCTGTTTTAACGGTGTTTCGTATGTACGGCAAACGTATTATTCATCATAGGATTGTGTTATCCGTTAGGAAACCTGGGAACAAAATCAATTTAAAGTGTTATTATATAAAAAAAAAACGGACAATATAATTGTTGCGATTCATTTGGTTACTGCGGCCCATCTCCCCCATATCATTTTAATTTGAAGGAAAGTCGAAATAGAAGTTTAGAGCAGCATAATCACTAGACTACAATCAAATTTATTAAAATAATATTATTGTGCTTAACAGTAACACGGCACTGTATACAGATTCACTTTCATTTTTCTAAACATGTCCATTATAATATTTTATTGTCTGCAAGACTGCAATAAACAACATTACGAGGTAAATTTTTACTGAAGATATTATTTAAACGAATACTATTTATTGGGAGAAAACGAATTGAAATGCCAAGGATTATCTACTATGTTATATATATACATATTTAACTGATAAATATTTGAAACATATTTCGAGCCTTATATAGTTATTTACAATATATTATGTTAAACGGTCAGTATATTATATACTCCAATGTAAAACTTAATAAATTATGTAATCAAATAATATATATAACATTACAAGTATTACATTAATATTAATGCACGCTCGATTCATCGCAATAATAGTCTAGTGTGACATTAATCGCAATAATTAATTTTGGCAAATAATGTCTCAATGAAGGGGGGTAGGCTCTATGGCTTATTTTCAACTTTGATTTCCTAGTTTTCTAAGTTTTGTAACTACTAAATTCTAACTACGTCCATGTATAAGTGTTCGACATACATATTATATTTATTAAATCACAGCCACAAAACATACTGTTTACACAGTCTGAAACGTAATTAATTCATAAAACGATAAAAAGTTATGTAGGACGTAGGTGCATCACTCAAAAATATTATAGGTATACATAGTAAAATTATTTAAATAAACCAAACGTCTTCGAAGTTATATTTAACCTCCAAGAATTGGAATATACCTATCATACCTTATTATACATATAATATAAATTTATACATTGTTATTGCAACTACGTATTATGATAAGCATAAGAATATAAGATGTTACACATGTTCTGTTTATCATATTCTGGTTATCATAACTATATTTTTTTTCTGTGTATTGGGGAGTATATTCCGGGTGCATCAATATAGGATTTTTACATAATATTTCCATGTAATTTTATTGTAAATTGTCAAACATGTTAAGCCTTTAAGTCCTCTGAGCTTCATGTACAATATCATCTCAGGTAAAACTTCCTGGAATATCTCGTTAATTATGTAGGGTGTTTCAGCATGTTCGTATTTGTACACATTTACCCATTTCGTGCCTCAGATTTCTGACGTACATAACTATAATAGGTATTCTTAATTGGAACGATTAAATCGATTTTTAAAATAATATTTACATAAATCAACTCTAATTATTCGATTGCAGTTTTGAGTTCAGGGAAATGAAAATAATACTATATATTTTAATAATAGTTTATAATGATTTTTAATGGGTTATAGTTATATTCAATTTTCCAAATAGCAACAGTTTATTTGGAAAAAAAGGTTATCGACGGAGACAAATATCTCGGAGAAAAATTCTGTATACCTAGCGCTTTTTATTCTAGTATATATAGTGTATTTTTAATTTTTTTTATAGGTATTATATTTTGTGAATTTGAGATGCCACGTGAAGACATTTCCGAAAAGAAGTTTCTGACAAAAAATTTGAAAATAATTTAAGTGTTTTGTCAACATATTATTTGCAAGACTTAACAATGCATTAATGTCATTTTTACGAAGGTAACTGCAAAAGCCTAAAAGATTGTATACCCACGACCAAGCTTATGAGGGATTCAAGTTAGGCTACCCATGTGTCGTCAAAAGAAAAATCATGGTTACGAAACTGCATACAGCTTATGAAATTCTATAAGACAACTATAGTAACATATATGGACCTACATTGTTTCAAGCTCGGACAATTTTTATAAGTAATACAATCAAAATTGAAATTTTTGAGATTCATATTTTTACTAAATTTCTGGAATTTAGTAGGTGCATCTAAAAAAAATAGTAAGAATAATATGATAATTTCTACATTTTTCGCTTACATTGGGCATTTAATACGTGATATACAGTACACAGTAAACCGATCGTCTTTATTAATTTTTTTAGAAATAACGGAAACTTAATATGTATATCCCATGACCATTGTCAAGGTTTCCAACATAATTTTTAAACACATAATGCACTATATTAATACTTATTATGCCGTTAGCACAGCAGCCATATGTATTATAATATACATCATGTGTCAACATAGGAGGTAAATACCTATCTTTAGTGTATATACAATTAATTATGTATACATACACCACCCTTTTGGCCACAACCGATGTTTTATAGTTGTATACTATTATTATTAATATTATAACATTTGTGCAAAACTAGGTTTAAACAGCAGTAAACGGCGAGCGGGTTAAGAAACCGCGTGTGCGTACCTATAGGCTATGGATATACCGCACCAGTGTTTCGCGATTTTTATACGCGAGGCCGACGAAATTACAGGTTTCTCAGACCATCGAGGAGGCTGTATGAGCGGAGCGCATTCACGCGTGTCGACACTATCGCTGCCGCCATGACAATCTCTGCAGCGGAGGAGTTGCTCAACGATATACTAGACTGTCGACGACACACATATGTTTTATTTGTATACGCTGCATAGATAGGACACAATCACCGTAATAATATTATACGTATATGTATGTATATTATTACCGCAGCTATTATATAATATACATTTTTTATCCACAGCAGCATTTACGATGGATCCTGAGCAGTTCATCATCGCGCGTATATTATATTCTATAGGTATATCGTACATTCGTACATCGTTAAGCGCGGTAGCGAACTATACGTATTTGTTTCAAAACCATTAGAATAAGAGGTACGTCAAAGAGAGACAGAGAAAAATGAAATTTGCGAAGATCCATTCCGATCTCGCGCTCCGTGATTTATTTTTGAAAACGTTATAACTTATAAATCATAACATTACAGCTATATTATTAAGATATTGTTTATGCAAGACGTTTAGCCGATGCCCAGGGTCAATATTTACCGTAATGAAAATGCTATGGTATACTATTATCTATGAATGAGCTAAAATCGTTTGACCTTGGCTCCCCTGTATAGGCACCCACCTATAAAAAATTAAAATACAATACGTAGATCATCTGCAATACTTGCGTCGATATTGAATGTAAGCAAATTATATCGTTGTCAAAGTAGTATGTCCAATATGTATACCGTGTACTGTTGTATATGTTATCTTCTAACCAGTTCCATATTATTATTAAAATATTGACTACAATACCGTAGAATCACAAAATTTCATATAGCACTTGAATATTATAATAAAACAGATGCCCAATATACTACAGTACACAGAGTCATTTTTAAGCATGCTTACTTTATTTATATGATTAAATTACGCATATATTCAAATTCTGACTTTTGGAATTTTTAAATACATTTGAGACCATATTTTCAGATTTCTTGCATCACTTAAGGACGATCCTGTGACAATACATACATCTATTTTTTCGAATATTAAGTAGACATTTTTTTTGAGAATTTTGAGGTATTTAAATCAAAATAAAGTGAGAAAGTGGGTAGTTTTGAGTTGTTATATACGTATATAACATTGTGTGTTAAGGTAAGGATAATATTATATTTTTGGTAGTGGGCTAAGTTGATATGGAAACATAAATGATTTGAAAAAGTTAGTAATTACTATTGAATTCCATCAACATAAATAATTTGTAAAAATGATCCTAATATAATAAATACTACATCTAGTATTACACATAGTTTATATTCTTATAAAACCATTTTTAAGGATTATTACCCTTAATATAAACATTTTAATAACTCAGAAACTACTCTATAAAATTTAGGTTTACATAAATCAGAATTTTCAAGAAAATCATTTGCTAAATAATTTGTAGTACAAAGAGGCTGTTTTCATTTGAAAAAAAAACAGAAGTTTGTATCACCACAGGACACTCCTTAAGAAGTTCGAAAAATATCAGACATTTAAAAACATATGTAATTTAATCTATACTTCAAAGTTCTAAAATCAGAATTTAAATAAATTTTCTATTAAACGAAAAGAAGAGACGAACATACTTGAAAAATCACCCTGTATACACCATTAACTTTAAGTTCAAAAGATCTTCAGGAAACTTCAAAAATAGATTTTAAACACTTTCAATATTTGTATTTGTTTGTTACACGAATGTGTCTGATTGTCATACTCTGACATGTGTAGATAGAATAGTTTGAAATCTGAATGTCACCACTATCAAGGTTTTGTTGTTAATAAAAGATATTATAAGATATACATTTAAAATTAAACTTAAGACCTGCGCACCGTTTAACGAGGACAGCCGTTATGATATTCATTTCTTAACTATTAATATTTTTAAATATTCGTTATTCGTTAACTGCTGAGCAGTTATATTTTCATGACTGAGTCAAGACTACGCAGACTAAGGCTACCGAAAAGTATAAATTGAGTACAAATATTTGAAATTTCCTTACTAAAGATGATGCTACATCACAGGTTTTTTTTAAAACTTAACATGAGAAATATTATCAAATACTAGTTATGGGTAATTTCCTGCGTCGTGAAGTATTGGGTACTACTGTGTCATATATGATGTATTGTACCAATAGTAAAAATGTTCTCATAGATTGCGCCTATGATGAAATTTCCAGCAATATCATAGTTACCAACGCATGATAAAGAATGAAAGCTTGTTATAATACAAAATATCATATCGAAATTACATTGGCGGTTTATGTATAAATTATATATTATATAACTATTTTAGTATTTTTTTTATAAATAAAAATTATATTTAAAATTCTTCCATGTTTGTAAAAATCTGATATCGTGTTTATTTTTTTGAATATCGCTAATTTATGTATGAATAATTCAAGGGTATTTACCTACCTAGATTAAATAATTTTAGGACTTAAGTAAGTATTATTTAATAATATAATATAGCTCAATATGGAAACTCCATTATCTACAGATATTGTGTGTAAAAAAATTAATAATACTTCTCTTAAATATTGAACACTTGGTATTAATATCAAAAAAATTAAATATAATTAAATTTACATATATTTTGAGAATATACATTATCTATAAATATAAAACAATCATTCTCTAACATAAAAGAAAAAGAACTCACTGATCTGGCAGCCAAAGCTGCTAACACCTCTCCACTATCATCGTCCACACAAATTACTTCACTCTGGAACATACGAACACTTATAACAAATAAATGTAAACTAAGAGGGCACCAGAAGTGGACATCTTACTACACTAAATTAAATCATATTAAACATAACACCGACAATTGGATTTTTCCTATCAAAATTCACAGATAATTCGAAGTCATGTTAACGAGATTCAGAATCGGACCCACGCGAATCCTTCGAATCCTTCAATCTTTTGAAGTATTTTTAGTTTTTATTTATTTTATTCGTGAGCTTTAATACTTACTTGTTGATTTGTTAAGTTTCGATTATTTATATTATATTATTTAAGAAAGAACCATTTGCACATAGGTATGCGTTAAGTAGATCCATAGGGTCTTAGGTTAAGGTGTGTTACGACTTAAGAGTGAGTGTGATGTACATTTGAAATTTAATCAAACAAAATTCTGAGCTGAGGTTTTTTATTCGGTTACTCTGTGTAAAACAAAACAATGAAAATTGACAAAAAATATAAAATTACATTTATTATTATAATGAGTTTAATAAATAACCAAATACGAATATGCATATTTGTATTTAATTTAAGCAGTCGTATATGGGGCTATTTGCTTAAAAACAACATTAAAAATAACCTTGGATGTTTATTTTGAGGATAATTGAAGTCACGAATAGTCGATTTTTTATACATGTGTCTGCATTTTATGTTTTTTTGATCACGAATAATTCAATTCTGTCAGTACATACATACAAAAATAACAAAATTAAAATGTAAAATAAATTAACTTAAAAAATAATGAAAACACAATTAAGTTGTAGCCTGACATTTTTTTTTTTTTGTTTTAAGATACGATTTTCTCTCGAAATGTCTTCAATCAGTCATATTTCCCCTCTATTAATATTATACAGTTTAAATATATGATGATAATTGTTACCTACTTAATACTTATAAGTAGAAATTTGTAGGATAGTTAATTTTTTGCAAGTAGTCGGCTATATTAGAAAACATTGAAAAAAAATGGATTTAAAAAACAAATATGTATCTACTTAAAGAGCCAAAAATAATGAAAATGTAGAAACGCCCAATATGTACCTTCTCTTAGTCGTATGGTTTGCAAATAAAGGTCTTCTTAAATAATAACAATTTAGAAGATACTTGTACCTACATAATTAACATCACTAATTAATAATTATTAAATTTATTAGTATTGATCGCCAAAACAAAATAATAAACTATAAATCAATTATTACCCGCGACAACTTAATTCTATCAATTACGTAGGTATGAATTTTAGTTTAATGTTATTGTTAATCATATTAGACATGTATACAATTAATATTATACAACTATCATAGTGTTAACGACATTCACTATTATTTTATATTTATTATTTCGTGATGCATTTATAATAATTGGGTTAATGTCTGTCCGGCCTCAAACTTCCACTACTTAATCAGTCGGTTTCATCGCAGTGACCTCATTCTTCATTTTCCATCTCTAGAACTCATCTGCATTGTTTTATACGCTTATTTTACAAGCAAACTAAATCTCAAAATTTCATCACACGATTAACTGTTAAAGAATGTTTTTGCAATTGTACGTTAAACACAATAAACCTTTCTCTGGTGTAATTTTCAGTACTTAATTAATTTATTACTGGTATATTAGGTACTACTATTGCATAACGTTTATTCGCGTTACTATCATACACACTGCTGTTGATATTTTATTGTAAGATTAGATATTATTATTATTATTAATTTTTGGTCATCGATCGCTAAGGCTAAACAAACTCATTGATATTTAATTCAATATTTATAAACTGTATATTTATAACTATAAGGTAACAGGTACCAACTGGATTCTGGTTATATATTTTATAGTACTGACTGGTTTTTTCCTTACATGATAAACGACTTAACTCATAATCGAATACTATTAATTTACTCAGGACGACCTTTAATTTTAAGGGCAATTAGAGCAAAGCATTTAATAAGGATTAAATCTTGCAGTAAATAGTTAGGTTTTTTTTATGAATTATCAGTAAGCATCGTAGCTAGCCTTCATAGTTCATTGTGTCTTTGGCAAAACTAAATTTTCGCCCTTCTGTATTACCACTAAACAGTAGGCACGTTATGAGAAGAATATGTATACTCTTTATCACCAGTATATTATAATTCTGTGGGTATATTATTCATATACATATGTGAGTGAGTACATATTACAAATTAAATTCCCTACACACAAAATTATTATGTTTTACAAATACACGACAATTTTTTTTTTTAATTGTCCGTAATTATTGTAATGAAATTTAATTTACGTACAATGTACTTTGCTTAAAAAATATATATTTAACAATTTTTCTATGTGAACATTTTAAGCGAGATTATAAGCATTGTGGGTTTGTTATACGTCCTAAACATATATGTAGGTACTCTAGACAATGACCCATGTCACCAACCTCATACTATGGCACCGTTACTTCTGAGTTATGACTTATGAGTACCTATCCGGCATCTATAGATGTATAGTACCAGATGCAGTGTAAAGAGTAAATGGTGTGAACTGTGCACGATGATCGCACAAATTTATTCATTTAAGTTCCAAATCGATTATCGTGTATTTTGTCAGCAGTGAACCGGTTTATTACATATTTATATGTATATTAAAAATATTACGAGCTAGCTTTACACCCGCGCGATTATATACGCATTATGCAATTAGTACAATCATCATTAGAGTATTATACATTACAATATTTTATATATAGGTAATTTGAATTATAAAATTGTATAAAAAATAGTATAAAGATAATAATTAATAATAATAACTTATCCTTATACTTAATAGTAAGTATATATTATTTATTTATTATTGAACAATTTTTGTTCTTTTGTATTTATATTACTAATAAACTCTAAAACCAATCTAATAAAAATGACGTGTTAGCAATCATATCTATAGCTGTAAAACTTACTATCATTGTCTATTAACGACTATTCTGTAACTGGTAGATGGAATTATTTTATATAAATTTTAATTACAAACATAGGCAGAGATTTGATTGAATTTAAGGGGGGGGGGGGCTTAAATGTTTCTTTATAAAACAAGCCTAATCTAAAGTCTAATCTTAAAGCATTAGGAATATTAGAATTTTTTTTTGATACATGGCTGATGTTAATTATATTATGATCATTAAATAACGAATTCGACGTATAATTTTCTGAAAAACTGTTGAAAAAATTGAAAATTACCAATGAAATATATTTAAAATTATAATTATTAAATGAGTACAAAACTTTTTTGAAACTTTTACCCCAAAACAAACTCGTTTAACTTTATATCAAGTCATGTTCTAAATATATTATGCATATCGACAATTTTAGCATTCTAACATAATTATAGTAGTGGTGAAGTCGAAGGCAATTTAAAAAAAAATAGGGAAATAAATAAATGTTTGATGCTGTATAATAATCACGTTATAATATTTTATTTTTATAACATGATAATAGTATATTATGCTACTACTATTTTTATTTATTAATAGCTTAAGTTAAAATTCTAAAATAGATATTGAGAAACTAGCTAAATGTTAATTATTACAACACTATATTTTACACCAATAACTACAGTACCTTCAAAATCCTCTTATTTCTCATACATATTCTGATCCTTACAATCCATGAAAATCCTCCATGTTAAATCAAAATTCAAGATTTTTTAGCAATTTAAACTATAGTTCAAAATTAATAATTGGTTTTGAAGTGTTCTATTTATGGGTATTGCCTCCCTAATCAAGTCATTCAATTATTATTAATGCTGTATTCATGATTTATCATATTTACTATTGTATTAATAATTAATATACAAATTGTTAGTTTAAAATAAAGTAGGTATAAAGTTTAAATTTCTCTAATAAACGTAGAAATTTATAAGCTTAAATTGGGGTGGGGGGTAGCCTCCCTAAAAACTCCTGAAGCCTCCCAAATTATTTCAAATTTGGTATAACGTTGTACGTTCGAGATAACACTTGTGGGTTGAATCGTGAGGGTGATACGTCTGCTTCGAAGATAATTTTAAATTTTGAAACCAGACACATAATTGCCTCCTTCCAATAGATCACTTCTGGATCATTTACTATTATCGAATTTAATTTCAGATACGGAAAAGAATAACTGAATGAAAAAATGTTAAGTACTTAATACAATAATACGTTTTCTTTACTAATTTTCAGTTATTATTTAAACATTTGAGACTAATGAAACTACTTACCTAAGTATTATAAAATAGTTAACCTATTATGTATACCTCTTTATGTACCTAATTATTTATAATATTGTATATAATTAAATTATGACAATAGGTCTGAATCATTGGTATTATTTTTTACAATAAACATCAAGAATTAATTAATAATAATAATAATAGTTTTAAGTGGACATCCAGGGTTATATTACTTATTCCACTAATTTAGTGATGTATAATATTATTTGGAAATATTAAACAATAGATTTGTAGTAACTATGTTTTCGGCGCAGGATGTCAATAATTAGTGTTGTCGCAGAGTACCTATCGATAATTCAAGAACACTGTATATATACATATATATATTATATAGGTACTATACACAATAAGAAATAAGAAAATATATAGGTAATAATAATATGTAATATGTATATTTTGTGATTAAGTAACTGGCGAACACTGGCTGCTTAATATATAATGTGCAAGGAAAGTCGTAACCACCACTTTGTTAGTGTTTATAGTGTCAAACATTTTGTAGCGCAATGTATAGTTAAATAAAGTAGGTACCTATCTATTCACCTAATGTAGAATGATGAAAATAAAAAACAAAAACAAATAACCAGCACGTGTTATTTTATTTAGACAGGAAATTGTAGTACACTGGAACCTCGATTGGTACGTACTTAATGTTCATATAATATTGTATTTATACAACATATATATATATATATTATTTATAATACGGCGTTTACGTCCCGAAAATGTTAAAATTATGAACAGATGGACAGTTGAAATCTGATCGCGGCATTTTCGAAGCTTTAATTTTTATCGATTTTTATATTGCACTATGATCGGTCATCGAACGCTTTTATAGTAAGCTACAACCGTTCAAAGGTACACTAGGTCGACGGTTTGTGCATTTGAGCGTGTTATGCATACACTCGACCGAAAGAGAAAGTAATAACGCATCGTCGTCGTATACCAATATAATAATAATAATAATGATATGATTATAACGTTGCAAAGAGAAACGAGTATAAAACAAAATCGTAATATTGTGTTAAAACGAGATATCTGCAGCTGGAAACACGCAAATTTAAAAACAAACCATTCACACCGCACACAGACACGTCATAATAATAATACACCAATAAGGTAATATAGTTATCAATTAATAATATTATATATTGAAATATATAATACAATACCCCAGTAACCGTCACCGCACCCAAACAGAGGCCTCAATAATACGACATGTGTCAACGTAAAAAATTGAAATAATAATAATAAAACCACAACAACATCGATGTACGTAATTCACGAACCTGCTATGATAATATATCCTTCGTTGGAGTAACCGATGACGGATCGCTGGATTCTGTTCATCAACGTATATCCTCTTTGCAGGTGTTGTATCGTCAAACGGAGAGACTGGAGCGGGACGTCGTCAACGGGTAAAATATTGTGCCGTCGTTATAGGATAACAATTTAAAAAAACGAAAGAAAAACAAAAAAAAAACAGTCGGTGGTGTTTAAATGACAATAATGACGTGTTGGTTGTCCCCGGCTCTTCCGCGTCCGGTCGTTGGCGGCAATCGTCCCGTTTTTGAACAGCGACAGCGGTAATATTATTAAGATACGCAAAACAAAAAGAAAAACCGTATAAACGGCTTTATCGCCGAAATAAAATTATTCGCCACACACGCGCACGGTTAAAATACAGAGCATGTGATATATAACTCGCGCAGGTAATAATATACGATTATGATTTATTAATATCGCACTTGTAGCGCGCCAATTCTGTTGTGGCGGCAGACCGCTGTCGATACGTCGGCGAACACAACTGGACTGGCCCGGGTCGACCGATTTGTTTACCTATAATATATAATATCGGCCAGCGTTCTAGCGTGCGCACGCGTGTGAGTGTTACCGCGGTAGTAAATTGGTAATAGTAGTGGTACTGGTAACAGCAGTAATAGTAATAGTAGTAGTAAATAGTAGTAGTAATAGTTGTAGTAGTAGTGTATGTTCGTCGTCGCCGTCGTCGCGAGTGACTCACGGGCTGAGCCGCTGAGGACGACGATGGCGGTGTGATGAAAGAAATGACAACAGCGAACAGCTGATCGGCGGCGCTCGCTGCTGCAGAGTTTCGCCGCGGCGAACCGGTTAGCGGGACGCCATCTGTGGGCTCACAGGCGAGACCAAGATAAACTGCGAAAATTATGACATTTTAGCACTTGAATTTACTCTTAAGCTAATACGCATGTATTTAGATTCTAAGGAGAGCGCTAAATGGTATTAAAATGACGTGTGTGTGTTTTTGCTTTAATCGTCTTTTGAAGTAACAAAATGTTTGAATCTACCACATCGAGGGTGGTTTTTGGCGGAAACTTGGATATTTTCAATTTAACCGGGAAAAATGAAAAATAAATGATGGAGAAATAGGTGTTTTCACGCAATAGGTACCAGTTTTTTACAATAACGATTTTTAAATTTTTTAGATAGGTACTTGAAATTTTCATAGCATATTTTTATTCACATTTTCTGGACGTATGACTTGGTTTTCAAAATGTCTAGTTAATTTATAGAAATTTAAAATGTTCAACTTTCTACGATATATTTATAATGTATAATATGTTGGTAACAATTTCTATCCCCTTGTTAAAAAGCTTGAAAGTTGAATACAATAGGCGACGAACATTATAATTATTTCTATAGCAATTTAAAAATATCGAAATCACATGGTCTTAGACATTTGAAGTTTTAGTTTTGATCAAATTGGATATCAAACGAAAAATCACGATTTTTTTTCTAACGATTTCAGTTTATCACAAGGGCTTGAAACTTTTTAAAATTCTGTTCGTTTATATATAAATTATTATTGTCTGTACAGATGATAAAATGCACAAAATATTTAGACACCTGTTCACGCCGTTCTGTACTGCTAGGTTAGGTGTAAGCGTTTAGGGGAAGTAATGTTAGGGGAAGTAATGCTTTAGGGGAAGTAATGCTAACGCGGTCCCCCCTCTGGTTCTCGATACCACAAAAAAAAAAAAAAAAAAAGGTTAGGTGTAAGCGATATTGACTTATACGTTATAAGTTACGCAATAACAAAAATATATAGGGTACATTATCATAACAAATTATATCTTTGACGTTTTTGGCAAAAATTAGTTAAATTATACCTATCTAAACTTTATACTGTGATGTTGATAAATATTTGAAAATTTCAATTATTTTTAAGTTACTTTTGATTTATGTATGATTAAATTACCCAAAATGAGTTATATTAAAAATGTGGTATTCATATTTCATACTAATAGTTGATAGTTTAAAATAAATATAATACCTACTTGCTATGTAGGAATTGTCATGTAAACCTACACAAGAATTTTTGGTTTAAATTAAATTATAGAACTATACGTACATATCACGTTCATAAATTATTTATTTAAGAATTATTACGTACCTATATAGACTGAAATAATGATCAAATTAATCCGATATTTTTTGGCCAAATAAAAATAATAAAATAAAAAATTTGATGTATTATTTAAGTTTTAAAATATTTCCAATTAAGATTTCCGTGTTCTTAATACATTATGTTACAATAAACGTGACATTTCAATACACGTTTACTCGTATAATATACCTATTACCTACTCATCAAAGTCGATTACCTATCCAGTATTGGTTGTTTTTAATTATCTATTATCTGTGAGTATGTGACATATAAAATCAGGTACGTCATGGACGTGAAGGTAAGTGAATGTATCCTTTTCAAGGGACTTTAGCATTATTGCCAATCATCCATGGACATAACTTAACTATTTTTTTTACTATCAATAACAATAATATTTGGCACGTAAAAATGTTATGTTAAAAAAAAAAACATAGGTTTATTTGTCTGTTATTCACATAAATACGTCATAATACTTACATCACAATAATTCATTTAAATACATATACACTATATATTGTATAGGCATGAGAGTGGATTGAGGATATAGAAAATCAATATTCGCATCCGCATACGCATATTCGTGTAATCGCAGTGTTGTTATTACGTAAGGACGTAGGTACCTAAGGAATACCTACGGCCTACAGGCACAATATATATCTGGGTGGCTAGGTAGGTATAATTACAATAATTTAGGTTCGTTTGAATTACTATATTAATGCTTCAGACGTCAATCGCTATTCTTTGATAGATAATTTTACTGAAAAACTATTTATAAACAATAACGAACCTGTAACTACTAAGAAAAGTTAAATACGTATACACAATAAGTGCTAGGTTATAACAAGGAACATTTTTTACTATTACCTACTATATAATTTATACTTCTTTAACTTTTTTAAGTAGTTACTAGTTAGTTATTGTTTATGAATAGTTCTTCAATAAAATTGTCTAATAAAGAATAGTGATTGAAGTGTGAAGCATAAGTAGAGTAATTCAAATGAATCTAAATTATTGTATTATACCTATACCTAGCCACTCAGGTATATATTGTACCCGTAGGCCGTAGTTGGAACCCGTTGGAACCGGTGCATCCGAATCGCATGCCAAAAAAATAAATATAAATCGGGTCGTCCGAATTGCATACCATATCTTAGAGGGGTATATCCGAATTGCATGCCATCTCTTAGAGGGGTATATCCGAATAAATAACTTACTTTTCAACTGGAGGGTCGGGATTTTGTTACTTTACAATAAAACATATAAATATTGTAGAAGGTGACACTGTGAATAAGAATCATAAAATAAAACTATTTTTTTTTCATCGACAACAAAGGCCATTAGTTAAATAAAACTATTGTAGTTTGGGGTAATCAAGTGAGTGTATTTTAAATAATATTATTTTTAAATTTGGTGGTCTTTTTTGACATTTCGGGCACACCAATATTACAATTTAAATAAACAAAATAATATGTAATGAAAGTCCAAAAAAAAGTTTAAGTTGTTTAAGTGCATAGTAAATAAACGTGTGGTGTACGGCATGCAATCCGAACAAAGCCCTCTAAGAGAAGGCACGCAATTAGGACAAACCCCTACAGGAGACGGCATGCAATTCGGACATTTTTTTTTTTGGCATGCAATTCGGATGCAGCGGTTGGAACGACACAATTATTTACTCAGCATACTCAGTGCTCATCTCTGTTTTTACTTTAATTATCCATATTTATTAAAATTTAAGTGTTTGAAAATGTTAAGTTTAATTATAGAAAATATTTTCAATTACTTATATTTATTAAGTAATTTTAAGAGTGGATTAAAGATTATGATTTAAAAGACTAACTTTTATTTATTTTCAATCGAGAAATACCTGTTTTTACAGTAAATTGTTAAGCAGATGACTTTTTTTTATGTTATATATTTTAATCGAAATTCGAAATTCGAACAAGCATTTTTTGAGTTAAGTAATTAGTTATAAACGAATGTATTTAACTTTGTGTGTATACTTATTACTTATACGGTAAGTAGACTGTAGTTATGAATACTCTAAATTATATTTATTTATAATTATTATTATATGCATTATTAAAGGATAAAATATCTAATGTTCCGTGGTTTGTTCGTATTGCTGTACTTCACAAAGACTTCCAGCTACCAACAATAACTGAGTCCATAAAAAATTAGCAACAACTTCTTCAACCACATCAATTATTCTGCTCGGAGTACTAAATTTTATAGACGTAAACCTATCTTCTATACGTCGACTTAAGCGTGAACGCCCCACACGACCTGTTATTATAATTTAATTATCTTATTAATTGTAAATACTATAATTTCGTCATTATTACTGACTTATGATACTATTATTATTATTGTTATCTTCGTTTCCAAAATATGTTAAAAATTTGTATTTATAATTATATATTATATATATTAGCAATATGTTTAATTAATAATAATACAAAAAAGGATAAAAATGGGATGATCATAATATGTTGTGTGAATCATTCAGTATAAAAATGTAAATAATTCAAAAAATTAATTGTACTAACTTAACATTACAAAATAAATGATAGGATGAAAAAAATATCGTATTTGTATGTACTTACACACAAAGTTACTCTAATAACTATAAACATCAATCATTTGATTTAATATTTTTTTTGATTATGTCTTAATAATCAAATTAATTAGAAAATCTGACATGGTAGACTTTTGTTCCTTTGATGGCCCTTGCTTGTGAGGGGGGGGGATCTAACGCGATGACCATGACCGACTGGTGTCGTTCGACTTAAGAGTATCACTTAGCTCAAAGGACGGCGAGTGGCCTGTGTAATGTTATGCACACAGAGGCGTGCTCAGAATTTTTCTATGGGGGGGGGGGGTCACTTAATATTTTGGAATAGATCTATTTAATAATATAAAATTTCGGTATTATACATAATATCATATATTTATTATAGATAATACACATTACTACTCAGATATAATATATTTATATATATATATACCTATCTGTGCCGAATGCCGATTATTACGAGGACCAAGCGCAAGGAATAATGAAAAATGAAATGAAATATTGTAACAATACTTACTCTTATCACGGGGGCCTATAAATGTACCCATCCCCCAAATACTACTAACAATACTAAGCCGATTATTCAGTGTTGCCAAATTAGAATAGTTTTAAATTGTATTATATTATTGAAAAAAAAAATTTTAATATTTCCTTCTATTGACCACTATTGTTTATAGTATATTAGTATAACACAATATATATATTACCAGGGGGGGTTTCAAACCCTATGAACCCCCCCATGACTGGTTTTAAACCTTTTAGACTTATGTTTTAGTACACGTCCACATTATGTAATGTAACGAACTTTAAAAATGGATGTGTCTTAGTGGATTGTAGTTTGCCGATCAGAACACCCTTTTTATTCAGTTTTTGTCTATACGTAATTAAAAAACAAGGTATTTTGAATTGCAACGACACTACTATGGGCTCTGATCCAACTTACGTTTACACGGCAGTTTCAGTATA